GTATTTGGACCGTACGCGTACGGTCCGGACCGTATGCGTATACTCGTACGGTTCGACCATACGCGTACGTTCGGACAGTATGAGTATACTCATACGGTCTAGTACGAGCTGGACCATACATGTATTTGGACCATATGGGTTAATTTTAGACAAACATTTAAATACTGTTACAGTGAATTTCAAACTTTCTCTGAAAAATCCCTAGATCCTAATGGAACTGTTCCAGACCATATGAGTATTTGGACCGTACGCGTACGGTCCGGAGTATACTCATACGGCGGACCACGGTCTAGTACGAGCTGGACCATACATGTATTTGGACCATATGGGTTAATTTTAGACAAACATTTATCAAAATCTTGTATTGAGTTTTACAAATTATTTTATTACAATTAGATGAATAAAGTGAATAAGTGGAAATTCAATCAATCAAATAATTATTTAATTGTCTATCTGAATCCTATTTTGGCACTCTGGCACTCTGGCACTCTCGCCTAGGGTGACACTTGCTGCCACAAGGAACTTCAGAATTTTTACATATACATGTTTTGTTTATGTATGTTCCTTTGCATTTGCAACTCTTGCTAGAAAGAGAAAAGCTTGTTTGTTTTGCGGCAGCATGCAATGAAATTCCTTCTGTTTTCCAATGTGCAGTTTCAATTTTGCGTGTCAAAAGTTCTATATCACCAATATCTTAACAAGAGTTTAATATGCCAAATTCACATGATAGTTTGTACAAACTTGCATCTTTACCAATTATATCATCAACCCTATATAATAATCGGGGAAGATCCCCCGATGTCCTATCAACAACTGGTATTTTTACAGTAACAAAGCTACATTTTTCAATCTTTGCATTAGTTTTCGACACTTTTTTATCATATTTTCTCATTGTATTTTCAACAGATTTTTTATAATTTCTGTCCAGTATCTTTCGTATTTTGTCGTGAGTCGTCATTTGTCCGTCGTCCGTTGTCATGGTACAGTTTCTGTCATCAGGAGGGTCAGCTATAATGTCATTCAGTATCATAAAATCAGCAACTGCCATGAGTTCATCGTCTGTGGGTCCCATTTATCAAAATATTTTTAATTCTATCAGTCTTCTCACAAATAAACATCTGGTTTGACGGTTTTTATAGTAAAGTTCCTAAGTATTCTAAAAACCTTTTCTTCTCACATTATGTTTACTTCCGATAACTTCAATTTCATTGAGCATAATTCAATTTCATGTATTACTGACATGCGAAATATAGGCGATTAAAAAATTAAATTAACATGACTTTTTTAAATAGTTGAAATATTAAGTTTTTATTTCAATTACAATTGAACTTTTAATATTAATTCGAGATTTCAGTTATGTTGATCTGTAATATACATTTGTATCTAATGAACTTGACCAACTTCTTAAATTAGTCAGACCGTACGCGTACAGTCCGACCGTATGCGTATTTTGAAAAAGTACGCATACGGTCCAGACCGTATGCGTACGGTCCAAATACTCATATTGTCCGGAACAGAACTATTTAATTGCATTGTAAGTGAATCAGGGTCATCAGAGCCTTATAGTGTATTCACAGTTCAATGGTTTAATGTTACTAAATATAATAGTTTAGAAAATTACATATATATGTATTATTTTATTCCTTTTACATTTTCACAGGAAAATAAATTTACAGATGAATATAAAGCAACAACTGAAATAACCGTAGTAAGTGATGTGTTATGAACTGGGTTACTCAAAACGTCTCACCTCTGATTAAGATACAGCCAGTTTCGGTACAAATCAAAAAGATTAATCTTTGGATAAATTTTTCCACTGGTCAAATATTTTGTAACAAAAATTCAAGATTTAATAGTTAATTTCAATGCCCGAGTATTGATTTTTGCAGTATTTTTTATAATAAAAAGAGACGGATGATACTAAAGTGATAATTCAAACGCTTACGTCGAAGACAAACTGACAAAGCCATAATAATTTGTTTTGACATGGATCTTTAGGTCCAGACTGGCAATGTATAGCACACGTTGACGTAAATATAATATAATTGAGTCACGAATTGAAGACAAATTAAGTAGGACTGGTCTACACATGGTCCATATAGACTCTTCCTTGACCGTCGTGATAAGTAAATTCACGTAGTCAAATATCATCACAGCTGTCTTTTTATGGGGGTTACAGAACTTTATGTTTAGAAAATGATTCAAAACGAACAACCACCAACCAAGACCAAAACCTAATTAGATATGGCACTTTATTCAGATGACAAAACGAAAGAAAAGAGAAATTGATTTTTGAAATCAGTTTTTAAAAGTAATAACATCCAACGACACGTTCTATTTGTTTGGTTTTCAGTTCAAGAAATCCGTAGAAGTTGACGGTAAAGACATTGAACTGGATATCGTAAGTAAGCAACAAAAAAGTACAGTTACACTGTTTCATATTCGTTAATTAAGTAATTTTAGGTTTTAATGTCCATTCTCCTCGCACACTAACCTCATGTTTATTTTATTCCAATAAAAAATGTAACGTGCCATGGTGATTTCAATTGAAGAATAATATTTTAAAACTTAATTATGAGCAGAGACATATACTGTTTTCAATTTAGACTTGTATATATATATATATATATAAGAAAGTCTAAATTGAAAACAACGTTCAAACCTATGATTGCGTTGGATAAAAACCGCAATTTTTATACGTGTGCATGCAAAACAAATTTCTTGGTAGAGTGGTCTAAATACAGCACAAACAACATTTTCCAAAAGACCAAAAAAGTGAAAAAGTATATTTTAACAAAACGCATTTGACTAGCAGGTCGAACAACTAATGTTCTTAAACCCTGCTGACTGCCTTGGCGATTGCCAAATAAACAGATCACCAGATGTAACAAAATAGATCTTAATTATTAATTTAATACCAAACAGAAAACAATAAGCTTGCGGAAAAGATGGTATACCGCAATCATGAGGTGCAAAAATTGGTACACCATATCCGGATTTCGACAATTAATGTCTCTTCAGTGATGTTAGGAATCGAAACGGTATTTGGAAGGCCATATAATTTACCTCAATTTAGGATAGACTCTTGAATTTTGAAAGAGTCGAAATAGGATGAACGGATCATATAAACCCGAAGGCAAATATAATACAAGCCCAAACGAAAAAATATAAACAAGTCTAAATTGAAAACAACGTTCAAACCTATGATTGCGTTGGATAAAAACCGCAATTTTTATACGTGTGCATGCAAAACAAATTTCTTGGTAGAGGGGTCTAAATACAGCACAAACAACATTTTCCAAAAGACCAAAAAGGTGAAAAAGTATATGTATATATATCTCTGTTATGAGTAAGTGTATGTTTTTTAAAAGTTTTTTTAACTTCTTAGTTTCAATCAAGGATTTGTTTAGTGATTACTATACACATTCTTGTTTCAATACTATAATTTTTTATCTGTTTTTGAAGAATTCTTCAAGTTATATGAGCAGTTAACATGAATTCATTAGCACGGTTATTTCCTCTGTATATCCATTTTAGTACGACTCGTGTTCAAAAAAGCTCTTTGGAGACAACGGTTTCTCAGAGTTCCGTAATAAAGATGGTTTTATTGTGATATTCGACGTCACAAGTTATGTAAGTATTTATGCTAACTATAAGTGGTTTCTATTTCTAAGTTACACAGCCGGACTCGCACAAGAAACACACGATCAAACAATTGATTCGATAAAATTCTCGGAACGAAAGAGTTCAACGATAATAGTTAAAAACTCGGATGATAAAAATTATAATCAAGAAACAGAGTTTCTGCGCAAGAAGATTTAAGAAATCACTTGGGGCCCTAAGTCTTGTTCGTTATTTTACATAGATAGTCGATGAGCGAAAGTTAGCAAGAAGGTCAGTGATGCTTTTAAAGACTTATACGAATAAATTCACATTTGCAAAATAGCATGTTTGTCGAGTCGTTATCTATCTGTGATTTATATATATATATAAAAATATGAAGAAAAATACATGACAATGCTTCGTTAAACCATGATGACAAAAGCATTATGCATAATTTGTTTAAACATTCCTTTCACATAACTCCTTAAGGATGCAATTATTCTTTCTTTAAGGACTCCTTTGCAAACATCAAATCTTTTTTCGACCGAATCAGACAATATTCAAACAGATGTATACTCCCAGTTCTTGTTGGTAACAAAATAGATACCGCAGACGACAGAGCTATTGGGAAACTTTTAGCAGAGGTAAGCAGCTTTTACAATTAAATTATCTGAAATCATCAGCAGATACCTGTATATCTATTATATTTGTTTGCTGTTTTTTTTTTCTCTTTCTATTCAGTATACAAATCTTTGACAAATCACTCCTTTCTCTTTACAATACAACAGTTTACGTTGTATTTGAATAAATGCTATGTTCAATTTCACAGGTAATTTTTTTTACTGAGACATACGAAGATCCCAAACCTGGAAAAGATCCAATACTGGAATATTGCTTTGGCGAATGTGAACAAAACAGACCGAGATAAACTACAAGCAGCGACAAAATAAAAACAAATTTGAAAATTGACTTTGGACACTTTGCATGTTTTACTTAGTTCCATTTTTATTTCAATGCCCCGGAAGATTTTATGAATTGGCTATCCAGTCCAACGTTTGTCTCCGAGCGTGCTTTATTAAGTAAGTCAAGAAAAAAGTTTCGCGAGTACTACAATCGGTGTCATAAGTTATTCACACTGCGTGCGTCACCCGCCATATGTCTGTATCATAAGGTTAATTAACACTACACGCGTCACCGGTCATATTTCGATATCATACGTTAATTTACACTGTATGCGTCACCCGTCATATTTCGATATCAGACGTTAATTTACACTGCATGCGTCATCCGTCGATATCATACATTAATTAACACTGCATGCGTCACTCGTCATATGCTGTTTGGCTGACACTTCGTATTACTAATATCGTCATATATATCTAAAATTACGCAAAAAATCAGTGTTTCACAACTCTATCAAACTATACAATACGAAAAATAAATTAAAATTACAAGTGTTAATACAAACATTAAGAAAATGGTATAAGGTGATACGTAAAAGTAAGCATCACCTCAAACTCTCTAGAAAAACCAATTGATATAGAATAATTTACATTACCAGGAGACAACTCTTCGTCTGTTTTTAAATTCAATTACATTCATTTTGATTTTGAAGTTTGTCTTTTTCTGCTAATGTTTATACCAAAGTTATGCACCAGTCACACATTGGACACATACGCATGTTAATATCGTGAAACTAAGGTCCCAAATCCTTCAGGCAAAGTTGACCTTAGATGAAATTGACTATTTTGTTTAGGTCCTTTTTTATCATATAGCTCATATCGTTGCAGCGTATTTACGCACCACTGGCTTTCAACTTTTTAGGTTTGAGCGTTCCTGATGAAAGTAAATCTAGAAAAGCGATTCGGACGCACGAAATGTTATAAATATTCATAACTTGATTATTCCTGTGTATAATTATAGATATTAATTTTACAGGACTTCGCCAATGAACATGACATTCCTTACATTGAAACAAGTGCCAAGGATGGTACAATGGTTAATGAACTTTTTGAAAAGGTTTTAACAGATATAATTAATCCATCAGAGGAGGTGATACTTAGGCAGTGGAGACCCTTTACATCAGCTGATCTTAATAGTTGTAAATCTTGTAAATGTGCGATATCATAAGTTATACGTTCGTCATTTAGTTTATCGATCACTTGTTCGTTGGTCTTATTAAAAACAGTAACAACATACATCGTCTTCATATAATCCTTTATATGTATACTATTAGGTATGGTATAACATTCCGAACGTGATATATAAATAAATCTCTAAAATGATGCTTAGCTGTATATAAGTTCGATGATTTTGTTCCACCATCTTTAAACATGCAGACTTTCTAGGGAATTCTCTTTTTTGACACACAATTGATAAGAACTTTTTTTCGAAAGTTGAAAGTAAAGTTCAAAATATAAATGAAGATACTTGTGCTTGTGCATGGTAATATTTAAAGTATTGTTTACTCCGCAGTAAAATATATACAACAGATATCTTCCAGTTTTGTTTTATTTCTTGTTGGATTGTGTAAACAATTCAGCCAAAACATCTTCGTGTCCATTTGATAATACTATGTTGAACAAAGAACCTCTATTCTCAATGACAGGGTTTTTCTCAAATAAAGCTTCAACAACATCTCTGTGACCATATTCACATGCAATATACATAGGAGATCTCTCATCATTGTCACACTGATTCACATCAGCACCATTGTTAAGTAGTAAACGTACAATATCGACATACCCTTCCTCGCAGCTAATATGCAGTGGGGTTGAACCATCGTCATCTCTAGGGTAGTTCATATCAGCACCACTGTCTAGTAGTAAAGAGACAATTTCAGACTGATCTTTCGAAGCAGCGTCCCACAGTGGCGATGTATCATACTCGTCACGAACATTGACATCAGCATTATTCTCAATAAGCAATTTAGCAATAGCTGTCTGACCGGCGTAACAAGCAGCATGAAGCGGTGATAATCCAATGTGTGAACAACTGTTTACAACTGCACCTCGAGTTACAAGCACATTTACGATATCGATAAATCCCTTTGCACAGGCAATATACAATGGAGTTTCTCCTTTATCATTGGCTTTCTGCAAGTCTGCTGTGTAATCTAACAATAAACAGACAATGTCAGTACGACCAAACCTGCAAGCTGTGTACAAGGGACTTTCTTCCTTTTCAGTACAAATATCAAATGATGCATCTTTATCGAGCAGGTTTTTAACAATCGCTAAAAAGCCACAACGCGAGGCAGCAAACAATGGAGATTCGTTTCCATTGTTGCACTTGTTAATGTTTGCTGTGTTTTCTAGAAGAAGCTGAACTATATCCTCAAACCCTAAATGGCTTGCAATGAACAATGGTGATATTTCCTGGGCATTGCATTTGTTCACGTCAGCCCCGTTTAGTATTAAACAGCGAACGATATCGATATGATGACCTTGACAAGCAATGTGTAAGGATGTATCACCGTCCTTGGTTGTGCTATTTATGTTTGCTCCAGCGATCAGAAGCTTTTGAACGGTCTCTAAGTGACCATTTTGTGATGATAAATAGAGGGCCGAAGTGCCACTTTTCCAGCACATGTTGGCATCGGCTCTAAAATCAAGTAACATATCAACTATTTCTTTATATCCTTTTTGACTTGCAACACTGAGGGGAGATTCGTTTGCATTAGTGCATACATTTGGGTCTGCTTTGTTAGCCAGTAAATGTTTAACTATTTCTACATAACCATGCTGGCATGCTATATACAATGGCGAAGCACCGCTATCTCTATACTTATTTACATCGGTATTATTTAATAGTAATATTTTGACGATTTCTGTGTGTCCTGTTTGGCAAGCCATGAAAAGTGGGGTAATATTTTGAGAATTACATTTATTCACGTCCGGTTTATGTTTCAGTAATTCGGCAACTGTCTCGGTGTGTCCATTTTGACTTGCCATTAATATTGCAGATACCCCTCCACTATCTGTCAGGTCTACGTTTGCGCCATATTTGAGCAGTGTACACACTATTGACGTATATCCTCCTTGTGATGCTATACACAACGGCGATGTGCCATCTTCCATGCAATCATTTACATCTACCTTGAGCTCCATCAACTCTTCTATCACGGAAACGTCGCCATCATCACAAGCATCAAACAAAGCTTGTTTATGTTTCGATGTATTCATTGTTGACAGGCAGTGGATTTTCTTCTTTTTGCGAAGTTTGTTTCGAATCAGTCTTTATTGATCTGAATAATTATAAATAATATATATTTTAAAATATGAAAAAAAACCAAACAATTTCATAAACTGGAATTTGGCCGAACGTTTCCCCGATCTACTTGATGAATACACATTGCGTTTAAATATTGAAGTTAAAATCATTTTATTCGATAAACTAAACGGAAAATATATCTATCGAATTTACAAAATTATTCTAGATTAAAATCTATTTTCAAATATTAAAATATGATGGTCTGGATGTGAGTGGGTGAGTCGTCTTCATTTCTGTATGGCAATTCTCTCTATTCTTTATTTATTTTGACCATTTATTCTATATTTCTTATATTTTAGTACCCCATTATTCTATATTCTTAGTATTTTAGTACCCTATAAATCTCAATTCTTTATAGTTTAGTACCCCATAAATCTCAATTCTTTATATTTTAGTACCCCAGTATTTTCGAATCAATTATTTAGCCAATTTTTCTCCATTCTTTATTTTTTAGACAATTTTTCACCATTTTTTATTTTTTTGGCACATTTTTCTAGAATCTTGGTCCATTATACTCTATCCTGTAAACCCCATCCAGATCTTCAATATTTTAGCTGACCTTTTACTCTTTGGGATTCTGAGAAGAGCCCCGTCTATTTTATAGCTCAAATATAAGTGTATGCCTCTGTATAAAGAGAGAGATTTAAGAACGTCTATGAGACAGCAATAAAACCAATTATTTCTTATGCAGCGAAAATACTGCAATCTGATTGGTTAATTATCCCGGTGTTAATAACACCCCACCCTTGTTCACCCTGGGATAGATAAAATTGTGTCAAAAAATAAAAAAATAAAAAAAAATTGCCAAAATAAAGAAGAAAAAAAATGTAAAAAAAAAAAAAAAAATAAAAAAAATTAAATGTCAAAAAAAAAAAAAAAAAAAATATAAAAAAAAAAAAATTTGAGGACAAAAATTTGTAAAATTTCCCAAAAATAGAGAAAAAAGTATTTGACAATACGCAGCAACATCAACGTTGAAAAAATGTTACACTGGAAATTTTTCATTAGCATTTTTCAATTTTACATCCCGGTTTAAAAATGAGTTAAGGAATTGTTCATAAGAAATAAATTCGTTATCTTGGTGTAATCAGGGGTGTACGGAATTTTACACCGTTGTTGAAAATTCAAACACCCATTCGGCTGCGCCTCAGGGTGTATGAATTTTCAACAAAGGTGTAAAATTCTGTACACCCCTGATTACACCAAGATAACTAATAATTCGGCTGCGCCTCAGGGTGTATGAATTTTCAACAAAGGTGTAAAATTCTGTACACCCCTGATTACACCAAGATAACTAATAATATACTAGTCAACAAATGAAACGATACAAGGCAATGTATTTTCCATATATAATGAAATTGGATACACTGTACCAAGGTAAATAATTGCCCAATTGGTTTTATATTTACAGTGTTTTACGCGATTTTTTTTTAAATGTTCGTTTTACGATAATTTAAATACGTCACTACAAACAGGCACATATCAAACCAACATAGATACATTAATTGTGGCTCAATATGGAACTTCGACATCACTGAAAGTAAAAGTCGTCTTTTTTTCAAATAAATTACCATGAGGAATTCTTAAAATGTTAAGGTCTAAAAATGAAAACGGTAAGTAGAAACGTTGAACTTGGTAGGAATGATTTGAGGTTAATAAAATCGATTTGTATATTCAGAAAAGTCTGGATTTTTTATATAGTATTGTGTTGAAATATCTAATAATATAAAAAAAAAAATAAGGAGATTTAGTATGATTGCCAATGAGACAACTATCGTCCATGGATTTAAACAACTGTAGGTTACCGTACGGGCTTCAACAATTACTTGAGCAAAACCCATACCGTACAGGCTGCTATTGAAGGCCCTAACGTGACAAAATGACAAAAAAAAATTCAATCGAGAAAACCAACGGCCTGGTTTTATTTCGAAACAATAAATGAAAAACAAATATGAAAGACAGCAACAAACAACAACCACAGGCTCCTGACTTCGGACAGGCACATACAGTATGTGACCGGGTTAAACATGTTTTTGAGAGTTCAACCTTTTCCTTAAACCTTGGACGGTGGCATATATCAGAACAACGTAATAAAAAACTGTAAAAATCCTCAGTAAATTAGTTGTGCTTCGTTTGGATATTGACAAATTCAATGTATCGGTAAACAGGAAGTAGCTGCGTCTGTTAGACCCGAAAAGCGAAACTGTCATTAAAGTTGCTGACCAAAACATGATTTCAATGATTCTTTTCAGTACTGATCGAGTACCTGAGCAAAGTGTGACGAAACCATGTGTTTGACGAACGACCGACTAAGGTAGATATGCAAAATTCACCATGCAAATTAATTATATAAGCCGTCACTTATCAGACAAACAGACTATAGAAAACAATTCCGTTCAAAACGGTGCTAGAGACCCTCAGGCTTCAACTTGCGGTGAGGTGGGATTTTTTTTTTTTGCCCGGCCGTGTTAAAGACCTAACTGTGGATTTGAGATGAAGAACGCAATAAAAGCGCTATTCCTTTCCTTTATTTGTTTTTTGCTGTGCATATACTGATTGTGTGTCATGGATGCATACCCCATATCCTTTCTTTTCTATAATAGAAAACAACTTTAACATACGGTATGAAATAATGCACAGATAATAAATAGATATGTTAAATATGCGGATTTATAGAATAAGCGATAATATTGGGCCAAAAATATAAAGAAAAAAAAAACTCGGCTCCTCTTAAAAAACTTGACTTGACAATGATCAAGAACTCCGGCATGATATGTATAATGGCTTAATAGCATTCGAAGAGATTAAATTATTTCTATTTTCTATAAGTATGATTGATAAACAGCTCAAGGTATTAGTCATTCAATTACCGAAAACAATCTATCGAATTGGCCATTACAATTATACATACTTGAAAGTTATATTAAATAGTAAAAATGTTTCATAGCCATCCGCCATGGATTGCTATTAAAAATATTAAGCATACATCATCTTAAGGGTAAGTATAAAATGAGTACTTGCATTCGTTCAATGCTCCCATTATTGTTACAGTAGCCTGGCATCCTGACCAAACCTCCTTGTGTGAGTACGCCGAGCAGTGAGCCAGGATCCCAGGCTATTGTTGCAGCCGTTACTCACAAAACTAACATAAATAACACTTATTGGACATGCGAAGAAATAGAAAATCGTTTTTTGTTTTGCTTCATTATAACATGGAAGTTATGTTCGTTTGGTCAATGAAAGACCTGAGAAATATGAATATACGCTATTTTTTTCATTTAAAACATATCTTATTTCCTTTGACCAGAGACAGATATATAATCAGAGACATATATACATGTATATGTCACTGGTATTATATATGTCTCTGATATTACGTATAACAAAAAGGTCACACTCAAGTTATCAGAGTCAACTTAAGGTTCATGCGGACCCTTTGGCTAAAATGGCTGTATTTTCACCTCAAAATTTACTCTGAGTACAGACAAACCTGTGTATCTGGAAGTCTTAAGTAGAAGAAAATTATCATAAATGGTGAGACTACTATACTAAAAGCCGTATAAAACGGTGGCCGGGGTATAGATGTAGTATTCAGAATAATATATCATTTTAATCGGTTTTACTAAGTCGATTTAAAGAGTTTTTATGATAACTAAATAAAATCGACTTAAGATGAAATTTATTTATTTCCTCAGTCTTTAGTTTTCTATGTTCTGTTTTCTGTAGTGCTGTTTGTCTTTTTGTCTTTTTGTCTTTTTCTTTTTTTTTGTCATGGTGTTGTCAGTTTATTTTCGAATTATCAGTTTCAATGTCCCTTTATTGTCTTTTGTCTCTCTTTTAAAATCGGAGACTGGTATTGTGTGCAATGAGTAGTCTCTGTTAAAGTGTATCAGTATTATGGCCGGCGGACGTCGGAGAAAATACCTTACATTGTACGTACTCGGAAACGTCAGACACATATTAGATCAATGTATTTCGGATTACCTCTTGCTTTATGTATCGCATGGAAACATACAAGGTTATCCGAAAAAGTGAATAATAATGTTTTTCTATTTTTTTCATCTGTTATTCCCGGAATAGTTCCGGATAAAGCTAACACGTTTCAAAAACAATACGTTGCAAACTAAAATATGGATTCTTTAATGTTTATTTTGGGGCTTGCATTTGTATTTTTGGGAAAAGTTAGTTGCAAATCTGTAAATGAAATGCAGTTTCAGCACATGAAAAAAATATTAGATGAATCCGAGTTGGATAATCTTCGTCAGAGAAATGAAGTCTCAGCTGTTTATTATTATAAACGTGGTAAGTACTCACATGTTTCTATGAATTTCATATATTGTAAAAAAGTAAGTGTCGACTGTGACCAGGTGACTTAAAATTGATTAAGGTTCATGTGGACCCTTTGGCTAAAATGGCTGCATTTTCACCTTAAAATTTATTCTGAGCATGCTGAGTACAGACAGACCTGAGTATCTGGAAAAAATTTAAGGCATAGCATGCTCTAGATTAAAAAATTCAAATACATTTTATTTTTTAGAAAATTTAAAACTTAACAGGATCTTGCAGTGCACTTTTTTTCATTCCTCCAGAAAGTGCCAAAATAAGTTGGGAAAGAGGTTTGAGAACTTCCCCACAGGTAATAATTGAAGTGAACTTATATTGATTGACATGGACAATAGATACCTGACAATAATTGGTGATTTAAATTGTGTAGCAGAGTGGACCATATCAAGTGAAACTCAACTGTTTGTTAATTTTATCATCTTCTGCAGGGATGAAAAAAAGTGCATGGCAAAATCCAGATAAGTTTAAAATTTTCTAAAACATACAATGCATTTGAATTTTATTTATCTAGGGCATGCTATGCCTTAAAACTTTTCCAGATGTACATGTTTGTCTGTACTCAGAGTAAATGTTGAGGTGAAAACGCAGCCATTTTAGCCAAAGGGTCCACATGAACCTTAAACAATTAGTAATCTATTCTAATTGTTTTTAGTCAAAGCTAATGAACAGTATTTTGGGTCCCTTCGCTCCCATAACACGTTTGCACCCTACACGTTCGCACCCTATTTTGTTCAAATACAGGTTAAATTGTTAGATGCTTTTTTAGATCATGTAGGTGCATATATCCCAAAATATTTTTATTAACTCATGAATTTTTTTAATGATTTGTTTTGGTGTCAGATTAGACGGTTATTAAGGTTCATTAAAAAATATGGTCGTGTTTACACCACAAAAAATACATGTACTATGAGTACAGACAAACTGATGAATCTAGGAAAGTTTTAAGGCATGGCTGGACCTAGATATATAAAAGTTATATGTAGTTTATGTTTCAGAAAATTCATAACTTATCTGGTTATTAATGTGCATTTTTTCCAGTCTGCATAGGATAGCAAAATAAACTAACACACAAGTTTTGTTTTGATACGGTCCACTCAGTTACACAGTTTAAATCACCTTTTGTTTGCAGATGTCTATTGTCCATCTATTGTCCATTTAAACCAATACTGCTCACAACATTTATTATATAAGGGGAGCTTCTCAAAACCTCTTTCCCAACTTAGTTTATTTTGGTACCTTCTGCAGGAATGAAAAAAAAATGAATAGCAAAATCCAGTTAAGTTTTTAATATTCTTAAACTTAAACTGTTAAAATGCATTTAAATTTTATATATCTAGGTCAAGCCATGCTCCAAATCTTTTCCAAGTGCTCAGGTTTGTCTGTACTCGGTGTGAAATTTGTGTGTAAATATGGCCATATTTGCTGAAAGGTTGTGATGAACCTTAAATGATAATTATTTATGATTACTGTTAAACTGTTAATTGGTTTTTACAAAGCTTATTTTGTATTATTGTTGTTTGTTTGAAAATCATGATTATTGTTATAACTATTTCTGGTGTAGTTACCCTAAATATTATAGTGCTCCTTTTGATTTGGAATAGTGCATGATTTAAATGATTGTGTGAGCTTAAAGTTTATTATTGTTGATGTATAAGTTTTTTGACACATGGAAATAAATGTTTTATATGGACTGATAGCTGTTATACAACGCCAAATAAGCATATATATGTTGGTACCTTCAATCTTCTTTACACATGGTAATTAACATGATGCATGTAAATGCTCTTTGGGAACTTATAGCTAAAATGTATCACCATAAAAACCTAATAAACATGTACTTTGTGGCCAAGTTTTTGTGTGATTTGTTGTTGTCGTGGCAATGTCATTGTGACTAGCTTGTTGAAAATTTGGTTACTTCCCCCTCTCTTTTAGTAGTCTTAGATGAATAAACTTGGCCTTTGATTATCATGACAATATTCATTATTCATTTCGTCAAAATAATTCATAAAACACTAAAGGAAATGTGTTTACTTTATCTTAAAACAATAAAAAAAACTGATTATCTTTATTTTATATCAACATGAGCAATACACTTACTACATGAACTAAAACACCATTAAAAAATTACTCAACACAAAACCTTTAAAAAGGGTGCAAATGTGAAGGGTGCGAACGTGGAAGGGGCAAATGTGAATGGGAACAAACATGATTTTGGGTGAATGGACCAGGATTCCTAATGAACAGCCTTTACTTCTAATCATAAGTCTTTATTATTAAAATTAAATGAGTTGTTTGAGTACGAGTTGGCAAATGTAACAGTTTTCATGTACCAAATAAGATATAGTCATTGATATTAGAGACATTCATGTAACATACTCCTAATTATATATGAACTAATCCCTTTTGAGATTCTGTTTCTGGATCCATGAGTTGACTGCCTACTGAATCCTTATCACATCAATTTAGCAAGTTAATAATACAACTGCAACCAGTGTTTTTCATGGACAGAAATATTCTGTGAAACATACATGTAAACACCCACAGGTAAGCACAGAAAAGTACTCATACATGTATTTACCTTTTACATAATATGAATTCAGTGGCAACCAAATGAGAAAACCACTCTGTACACAGAATCCTGAAAGGGATTACAAAATGGCAATGCACATACATTTTTATACGACCGCCAAAAAATTTTGCGGTCGTATATTGGTTTGACGCTGGTATCATCGTCGTCCGAAGACACATTGGTTTTAGCACAATAACTTTAGTTAAAGTGAATGGATCTCTATGAAATTTTAACCTAAGGTTTTTAACAACAAAAGGAAGGTTGGGATTGATTTTTGGGGTTATGGTCCGAACAGTTAAGGAATTAGGGCCAAAAAGGGGCCCATATAAGCATTTTTCTAGTTTCATGACAATAACTTGTGGAACAGTGTATGGATCTTCTGAAATTATACCACAAGTTTCCATACCACAAAGGGATGGTTAGGATTGGCTTTGGGGGGTTATGGCTCAAACCGTTAAGAATTAGGGGCAAAAAAGTGAGAAAAAAACAAGGGTGTCCTGGTAAATGGACAATTACTTAAGTACAAATAACAGTGGAAGGGAGGTAATTCAAAAACTACTTTGAATTAGCTCCCTTACACTGCTTTTAAATTATGTATAAAGAATTTTTGTATTGTCTTGAGGTGATTAGCTGTCAATTCATTTTTATATGACCTTTTGCGGTCGTATATTGGTATGACATTGGCGTCGTCGTCGTTGTCCGAAGACACATTAGTTTTCGCACTCTAACTTTAGTTTAAGTGAATAAATCTCTATGAAATTTAACCATAAGGTTCAATACCACAAAAGGAAGGTTGGGATTGATTTTGGGGGTTATGGTACCAACAGTTAAGGAATTAGGGGCCAAAAAGGGGCCAAAAATAAGCATTTTTGTAACTTCCAGACTTAACTTGTGTGTTAGTGTATGGATCTCTGACATTGTACCACAAGGTTCCATATCACAAAGGGAATGCTGGGATTGATTTTGGGGGTAATTGCCTCAATATTTTAGGAATTAGGGGCCAAAAAAGGGGCAAAAAACAAGAATTTTTCTAGTTTCATGACAATAACTTGTGTGTACGTGTATGGATCTTTCTGAAATTGTACTACAAGCTTCCATATCACAAAGGGAAAGCTGGGTTTGAGTTTGAGGGTAATTGCCCTAAATGTTTAGGAATTTAGGGCCATAAGGGGCCAAAAAACAAGCATTTTTCTAGTTTCCAGACAATAACTTATGTTCAAGTGTATGGATCTCTCTGAAATTGTACTGAAAGGTACCATACCACAAAGGGAAGGCTGGGATTGATTTTTGGGGTAATTGCCTCAAAATTTAAGGAATTAGGGGCCAAAAAGGGGCAAAAAACAAGCATTTTTGTAGTTTCATGACAATAACTTGTGTGTAAGTGTATGGATCTTTATGAAATTGTACTACAAGGTTTCATTTCACAAAGGGAAAGCTGGGTTTGAGTTTGGGGGTAATTGCCCTTAATGTTTAGGAATTTGGGGCCAAAAAGGGGCCAAAAAACAAGCATTTTTCTAGTTTCCAGACAATAACTTGTGTTCAAGTGTATGGATCTCTCTGAAATTGTACTGAAAGGTACCATACCACAAAGGGAAGGCTGGGATAGAGTTTGGGGGTGATGAATCATAAGGGGGTTCAAAAAATTGGGGGGGGGGGGGGGTCCTTTTTTTTTTCTTTAAAATTTTCCATTTTAAATTGGTTATTTCTGATTTATATATAAAAGAAAATAATAATGATATGGTTTGAATAGGTAAATTAAAATTTTTTAAGTTCTTAGACCACATTCATTCTGTGTCAGAAACCTATGCTGTGTCAAATATTTAATCACAATCCAAATTCAGTGCTGTATCAAGCTTGAATGTTGTGTCCATACTTGCCCCAACTGTTCAGGGTTCGACCTCTGCAGTCGTATCAAGCTGCGCCCAGCGGAGCATTTTATTAGAAGTTACTATTTTAATCATTTTAAAAATGCTGATTAAGGTAAATTAATATTAGCTATGATTATGTATGTCATTTTCTATTTTAAGACTTTTATGATGTATTTAAATGGGTTATTATGGTTGCAAACTCCATTAGAAATTTGAATTGAAATTATGACCATGACTGAGGGAAAGAATTTTTTTTGGAAAAAGAGGGGGGAGAGGTTAAAAAAAAATTGGAGGGAGGGGGGCAATTTTTTCTCCACAAGATTTCAGAAATCAAAAAGAAAATCCTACAATTTTTTTTTTGTTGAAAAAAGGGGCGGGGGGTCAATTCTCAACTGCATAGTGTATTGCACAAAAGCAAAAAATTGAATATAAATTCAAAACATATAACCAATTCTAAGTTCTTTGACTACAGTTATTCTGTGTCAGAAACCTATTATGTGTCAAATATTGAATTACAATCCAAATTCAGACCTGTATCAAGCGCGAATATTGTGTCCATTTTCGCCCCAACTGTTCAGGGTTGGACCTCTGCGGTCGTATCCAGCTGCGCTCGGCGAAGCAATTTATTAACAAATGTACATGTATCATGTTCAGTGGTTGTCGTTTGTTGCTGTATATCATATTTGTTTTTCGTTCATTATTTTGTAAAAAAATCAGGCCGTTAGTTTTCTCGTTTGTATAGTTTTACATTTGTCATTTCGGGGCCTTTTATAGCTGACTATACGTTAAGGGTTTTGCTCATTGTTGAAGGCCGTACAGTGATCTATAGTTGATAATTTCTGTGTCATTTGGTCTCTAGTGGAGAGTTGTCTCATTGGCAATCATACCACATCTTCTTATTTTTATATGTAGCCATGCAAATATAATCATTTACACAGTTAAAAACATACAAATTTTAAATAGCTAAGCACTCAGTTGTACACTGTATCATTTTTCTAAAAAAAAAGCAGATGGATACAATCATGCAACCAGTTAATTTATAAGCTAACAAGTATTCAGTTTATAATAAACATAACCAAATCATTATAATTCTGTGCATGTTTGCTAAGTATTATAATATGGTCTACCGATACATCATATACTGTTGTATTCAAGATACATCTGTATGTGCATCATTGATTGTTATCATTCCTAAAAAAAAACTGCTTCAATTTTAGTCTTGAAATTTGCATTTTAATGGATTAGTATTCTTTAGTATGAGAGTTTCATTGTCACATTTAAAGATCACTAAGGTTTGCAAAAGAGAAATAAATAGACATTCTGTCTAAAAAAAAACCCAAAACGGTTAAAATTATTGGGATATGCACTTTATCATTTACATGTATTATGTTGAATCTTTGTTGATGTTATTTCAATAATATTTAGCACACCTCAAACAATTTATTAATACACATGTTATATATACTCAGATATCCTAGTTACAAAATGGTGTGTATATGTATAGCCTAACTTGTAAGAAAACTATTTTATCGAAAACAAGTTGTGCATGGCATATAAATCTTATCTACATTATAGTCAAAGAAAGAGAACTCCAATTCAAAATGTTGCATAAATGTGTAAAAATTGTGTTCCATGAACTACTAAAGGAAATTCAATGTTTAATTTAAGTTCACTTTTTGAAAATGAAGCAATCTTTACCCTCCAGTAGTTCAAAAAACACTGTGCTTAAAGTCTAAGCTTTGTACGTGCAATGCAAAAAATTGTAAGGGACGCAGACTTTGAAAACTTGACTATATACATGTATAACACACTTATAAGTAAAAACAGTTGTAAATGAATTTTAAGAGGTCTTTTTTTCTGCTTTTTGGTGGTTTTATTGTAATGGTTGGTTCAATTGTGTAAGATCAAGAACTGAAATTATATCAAATTAAACCAACCATAATGAAACTTAAACTGATAATTATATGATCTGTAACCACTCATTACCAAATACACATATCACCATTCGCTAAAAATTATCTGGAAAGAAGAGTTTAATCCAAGTATAAAAATATTAAAATTTTAATGAAATTTTCCAAGTCAGATGGTATAATTGGGTACAAATAGCTCAACTGGAACAAAATTTAATAACATCTATTATGGAAGCACAAATGCAATATTCTGAAGGAAATAACCCTCGACTTCTTTGTTTATTGGAACTGGACTTGGTACCTGTATTGAGATCTGCTAACAAATCTGTTATGTTTGGGGAAGAAAACCTTGTTATTTAGTGCACTTTACCTTACTTTTTTTGACATAGGATATTTATAAACATTAGTGAGATGTCTGCTTGCAGATGATACTAAGTTACCAAATTTAAGTTGAAGTTGAATTGCTGTTGAAAAAACATGCAAACCTACAAAATGTATGTCATATATGTCATTGCAGATATTCCACGATTGAAAGGTTTTCTCAAAGAATTAGACAAGACAGCAGAATATTTAAAATTATATGGAGTGGAAGTTGGATTTGTGAGTAAATTAATGCTAAATGTTGAATAAAGTATTTTGTTATGGAAAGTGTTTCATATATTTTGGAAATGACTTTTTATCATTGATCATGTTGATTTTCATTTTATATCAGTTACCAATTGCTTTGATCATGTTGATTAAGATTAATTTGATAATGCATAGACATATTTTTAGATTTGTGCCCCCCCCCCCCCCCCCCCCCCCCCCCTAATTTAATGAAGTAATAAATGAAACATGGATATATGATGGAAAACTTTTTAAGGGTAAAAATACTTCAACAAAACACCTAACGATTTCCAAGAATTTACACTATTTTATTTCATTTTCTGTGCAAAATTTGAAATCCCAAATATATGATCTGTTAGATCAGCCATTTTATAACATCATGAATATTGCAAGTGGATAAGAATAAAAATAAACTTTTATAGTAACATGTTAAAGTCAATGCATTCTCAATATATATATATATATATATTTACACATACAAGTAAAGATTTGGATAAATTATTCTATTTAAGTTTCATCTACTAATCGACAAGCAATAAAATTGTTTCCTATATTAAAATGTTTAATTGTTTAAGGAAGCAGATAAGGAAGTATACATGTAGTTCCTTTCCCCCTTACATTACTAACTTGACTTCTTAATCAACTTTCACCTTCTTGTTCCTTGTAGATGTTATATCTCCTCTTTACTAATACTTTCCTGTGTGTTTTCTCCCCCTTTTTACATATAGCAAAGGCAATCTCCAAAATGTTCCTGTCTCAATATTTCTATTCCTATTAATTTAAAGGCCTTTCCCTCGTATCAGTAGGAATTATTAAACTTTGCATGTTTTGAAATTTGATTAAAATAAGTTTTATTTCTTTAGTTTGATTGTGGAATTCTACATGAAGCCAAAGAACCAAAGTGTAATGAGCATAATGCAGAGTTCCAAATCTTCACATACCGTAGTAACCATGTTCTGTTGGAACTAGGATTAGAGACTATGTTTGATGTTAATTCTATCATGTCCAATATTTTACAGTAAGTTAATATAGTACTTTATGACCAAGCATTCTAGATAAAAACATCTATGACTAATTGTTATTTGCTTTATGTCCAGTGGCAAATACTTCATGCATGTTCAGAACATGAACTGATTAACAATTAATACAAAACGTAGGTTCTGCAAGGTATGGTCAGACAGAATTAAGGGCAGGAAATTTGGACAGTCACTTTAAAATAAGGGTATGTTGATTAGGGACAGGTCACCAACGAACCTCTGGTAGAGTTGTTACAAAGGTTAACCTGCAGAGAGTGTGACACTCTCTACACAAGGCATTGGATTTAATGTCCCCATATGTTTTCAATGCAACATACATATGTATCTGTTATAAGATATTATTATGTAGTGTAACAGTTGTTCAGTTTCATGTTGCATACTTCTCAGTATTGAAATAAATTACACCCATTTAGACAATAAAATAAATGTAATGATTTAAAAAATCAATTGCGACAGGTAGCCTGGTATATATTTTTCATCAGAAATTACACTTTTAAATAAACGTTTTTTTTCAAGATTTTTTTTGAACAGACAAATGAGACTCATGAAACATTGACCATTTTAGCTGTTATAAATATTTGTCCCTTTTTTATTCTCCAAGACAACTAGGAAGGTCATCATGGTCATTACTGGCAGAATTATGAATTCTTCTTTCTTGCTAGCAGGATAGAAAATTTTGCACATCTGTTCCGTCAATATACATCCGAGATTAGAAATTATGAGTGAAATGATAATTTACTAGTATCAGCTAATGACTATGTTTTCAGATTGTTCCTTTGTTGATAACAGTTGATTTAACATGAATATTACCATGTTATAAAAACAATACATAAAATGTTTCTTCCAGATTAGTATTAATTCATGATGTACCAAAAGCACTACATAAAATGTTTCTTTCAGATTAGTATTTTTCCATGATGTACCAAAAATTCTACATAAAATGTTTCTCCCGTATTAGTATTAATCAATGACGTACATGATGTACTAAAAATACTACATAAAATATTTCTTCCAAATTAGTTACAGTATTAATCAATGATGTACATAATGTACCAAAAATACTACATAAAATATTTCTTTCAGATTAGTATTAATCCATGATGTACCAATACTACAATCTGTGGAAGAGAGGATAGAATATGAAAATAAATACAAGGGAGAGAAAGATATACTGTTTACCTACCAGAAAGCTATCGGGACATTTGGTAATTATTTTGGCTCGCTTCAACAATGTTGTTAGACTAGTACTGGTGAAAATAAATAAAGTTTTAGTACACAATGAGATAGTCTCCTCTCCTGTAACCTTTTCTGCAGGGCTGTTTTAACGACTTCTGATTTAATGCCTTTTGATTTAATGCCTTCTTCAATATTTCAATTTACAGTTGCAACAAATCATAAATGCTTATGACAGGTGTTTCCAACAGTGATGATCTATTGACTCTAAATGTTTCCATAGTTTACATGTCAAAGTTTGTGATTAGATCAATTTCAGATGAACCACTAATGTTAAGTCAAAGATATTTGGTATGTAGTTGTATAAGAATTTGCAAGTCTCATTTCCGTGGAGATTATATGGACCTGTACCCTCATAATGGTGCATTGACTTTGAAACTTTTGCATAGTTTACAAGATAAAGGTTGTGTTAACGTTTAGGTTAGTTTAAAAGGAACCACTTACAGTGGCGGATCCAGAAATTTTCATAAGTGGGGGCCCACTGACTGTTTAAGAGGGGGCCCGCTCCAGTCATGCTTCAGTGATTCCCTATGTAATCAACCAATTTTTTCCCCAAAAAAAAGGGGCCTGGGCCCCCCCTCCTAAATCTGCTTCTGACTTATGATATATCCGGAACCACTTATGATAAGTCAATGGTATTGGTATTCAGTTTTAAAAGCATTGTCATTTCTCATATTCATGGATGTTATTTGGCCCTTCACCTTCTGTCCGAGTTCATTGAATTTGAATGTTTTGCATAGTTTACATGTTTAAATACTGCTATTTTAATTTCAACATTTACATTATACATTGTACTATCAAAATTACAAAAAAGCGAGACATATCTCTGTGTCAACAGTTTAATAAAAAAAGTGTTATTTTGGTAGAACTCAAAATTATTAAATCATATTTAAAAGCCATACTTTAGAAAATGGTATGTCCTTGTCAATTTCTGGTTTTTGGAAAGATTGGAACTTGTTCCAATTCTTTCCTAAGGTAGCAATAAACAGTTAGGAAAAAATATTAAAATTTTCCCTCATAAATTTTACCATCCCCTTTTCATTGCCTTCTTGCAATATTAAGCTTACTATTTGTGTCATATATGTGCATATGTATGTAATCAGAATCTTCCATAGATTTCATATCCAGTATATAAAATGGTAAAATATAATTTCTTTTTGGTGTATCCATGGCAACAATCTGCATTTTTTTGTTATAAAATATAGCAAAAAGGGGGGAAAAGATGTCACATATTTCCCCAAAATTTGACCAAAAGTAGAATTTCAATCACTTCAAGTAATACCTTTTCTGAAACTGGTTACATATATATTTCAATAAATCCAATGAAAATCATATGTCTTTCATCTCATTTTTTTGTAAAATTGCGTCAAAAACTTTGTGTAGAAAAAAAATGTTTGCAAACATTACAATTTCTGGACCAATGACCGGTCTAGCTATGAAAATACGGAGAGTCAAACAGAAAATAGCCCATAAAACATGTAAAATATAATCTTGATGTTCTTATAAACCACCTTTGAAGGCTAAATTAGTACTCAGCTGTCTAAAAATGAATTTTATTACACAATAACTTTCATATTTGAAAAATCCTCCGGGGCCAAAATGCGAAACCAAACTCCTAACTGTATTGCTACCTAAGGCACCGGCCTCCAAACAGAAAGTGGACAGATTAGCTACTACATCTATACACACTGACATAAAGTTCCCAATTGTTCTCATGTCTGTGTACATATGCACAAGTGAACTGGAAAGAAATTTGGTTACATCTTAATTTAGAGTATTTTTTTCAAAAAGAATAGACATTACTTCGTTTTTTCAATTTCTGGCTTAGTTTTGTCTTTTAACTTAAGTGTATTGATACATTAACAGTATGATTGACAACTGTCATGATCAAGGTACAATTAAACACAAAGGGTGGGACAATAATTGGAATTCTATATAGACTCTTCCTCCTTAATGCCAATCATAATTGACCAAATGAAATGAAAATAAATGAGTTTATACATAACATGGCAGACCACTCAATACACAAACTTTGACCTCATTAATATCTGATATAATTTTATCTATATAGGTCAGTCTCTGTCTTCATGTTAAATCGAAAACTAACAAATACTAAATGGGGATTTCTTTAATAAAATTATATACAGATGATAGATTTTTTCCTTTACCTATATATATCTTTTGATTTACATTGCATTAAACAAACGATCTGTAAATCTTGTTTGAAAGATGATTACCGGTAAGTAAGGATTAATACATAACTCTTTTTTTTAGAAAAGACCAAAATGAAAATCTGTATGAGTAAAGAATCCGTGGTGTCTGTTTTTCTTGCAAAATCTGTGCAACAATTATCTGTAATTAATCCATAATTTTAATAGGTTGCATTATAAGAGAAGGTATTAGTATATTTGAATAATGTGAGGTAATATATTTTTTCAATGAAATAAATAAGAATTTGCCTCAAAAATTAAGTCTCCTTTGGACAATAGAATAAAAACATCATATTAAGTTTATTGATGTGAAAATGACCCTTTGTCAACCATGCATCTTCAATGTCATATATTATTGTGTAAATTAAAATCAATAAGCTATACTTAGCAATGTTTGAACACAGAGTAACAGACATGCCCACCAAACAACAATTCACAGGTTAATTTTGGGAGATGAAAAAAGGACTTAAGTTTCAGGTCTCTTTAACCATTGATCCCAGGTTTACCGAGAAACTACAATGATATTTTTTTTACTAGGTAATTTCTTCTGTTTCAAAAAATATAAACATTAAGTTGCAATCAAAAAGAAGTTATTATGCAAATTTAGTGACCCACTGACATAAATCTATTACTGAAAAATTGCTTATTCTAAAAATCTGCAGTAATATAACTAACAAATATGCAATAGTGCTATAGCAAGTTTTTGTTGTCCACCATCACTGCTATGGAAGTGTAAAATATGATTGAAATTATATGCACAATTCTTCCAATCTTTCCATTAGTGATTTTAGATCACTTTGATTGTTGTTGTTGTCCCATCTACAATAGTACTGGCTTTATGTTTTCTTGTCATTGTGTCTGTCTGTTTGTTCGTCTGTCCCAAATAAGGTTAAAGTTTAGAGTTAAGGCAGGTTAAAGTTTAGGTTTAAGGCAGGTTAAAGTTTAGGTTTAAGGCAGGTTAAAGTTTAGAGTTAAGGCAGGTTAAAGTTTAGAGTTAAGGCAGGTTAAAGTTTATGTTTAAGGCAGGTTAAAGTTTTGCTTTATGGTAGTTTACTATGAAGTTGGGACCACATCGACTTGAATCTTAGTACACATGTTCATTATAATGTAAACTTTTAAAACTTCATACCAAAGTTATGGTTTTAACCCAGATTTTGTGGTTAACTGAACATGGAAATGAGAAAGTGTGGGTGTGCCATTATGTCAAATGGACATGTATTCTTGTTAACACTTTATTTAGATAATCTCTTGCTTTGAGTATGTAAATAATCTTTCAAACAGAAAGAATTATAACATCAATTGATTTTTCAAGTAAAACTCAGCATTATATATTTGACTGTGTAAATTACAATTTGTACAGACTTTTTGGACAATTTATCAGTTTTTGATATGCTTCGTCTTTCACCAGATGACACAAGTTGATCTTCTATAATTAAGAAGCTTGATGTTTTACTCACAGTTTTATATAATTCAATCTAACATTAAACACTATATTTGGTCTAAAGCTGCAAACAAGGACACTAGATTGGGTTAGATTCTATTTGTATTATTTGGCTTGCATAAAATTTTAAGTAACCAAATGTCTTTTAGTGTCCTTAAATTTAAAGTTTGTATTAGTGTTAAATACAAGACTGTAGCATGTTGTCATGTTAATATGACAGTGATAAATTATAACCAAAAAAAAACTGAATGAAAAAGACTGCTGACATGCACATCAAGGTGTAAAGACATATACGGAGATAGATGTGCTTTGTACAAATTGAAATTGTGTGATAATAACTAAATAGTATATGTTTTCATATGTAAATTATAATTTGTACAGACTTTTGTTTAGTTTATTGGGTTTAACACTGATACAAAGTTTATATATAAGGAAGCTAAAATATATTTGGGGACTTGAAATTGTATGCAAGCCTAAAAATACAAATAGAATCTTACCCAATAAACTGTACAAAAAGTCTGTACAAATTATAATTTACATATGCAAACATATACTACTTAGTTATTTTTGAAAAATGAATTGATGTTATAATTTTTAATTCTGTGCTTGTTTTGTCCAACTAAGTTAAGAGTTTCACAAAATATTGATAACTTTAATTTGTACAAAACACATATATCTCTTTATATGTATTTACTCCTTGATTTGCAGCTCAGTAGTATTTTTCATGTTTTTTGTTTGTTAATAAAGGTTTAACTGTACATGTTATACTCTCTAAAAGTTATACCATGATTAAAAAATAATGAAAATGTGTTTGATTTATAGAACATAGGATCTTTATGGAAGTGGCCTTTGCTTATCATGATAAATTTAAGTTTGCTGTGTGCACTAATAAACAGGCTATACAAGATCTTAAGTAAGTATTTGTTTTTTACTACTTCCACAATTGTTAAACAACAACAACAAAAAACACTTTAGGAAATTTTTATAACAGACAACAAAAAGCCAGCAATAAGTTAAACAATACATATTAATGTAGGAAAGAATGCTTGAAGTTCTTCTTTGTTGACAAGTAAACATAATTTCTAAATTTCATGCTTTGAAGTGTAGAAAAGTTGCGACTTTTTATAGTCTTATTGTTGTAATTTTAGGTCTGACATACAACACTGTCATGATCAGTGTAGAAAATGTAATGCCAGAAGTAATATGTATATGGGAAGCAATTAAATTGAACAGTTTATTCATGGACAACAGACATATTTAATTTTAATTACAGTGTATAACATCTACCAAAGTATAAATGTTTCCTAAAAATGATTTCAGATTCTTGTAATCCCCCATGGGGCACCCCCCCCCCCCCCCCCCCAAAAAAAAAAAAAAAACCAATTAAAAAATAAAAAAAAACCACTCTATTATTCCCCCAAAAACCATAACAATTTTGTTCTTGAAATGAACAATTACTATCTCATAATGATGCCATTAAGTTAAAACTACTCTATGGAAGGATTTTCATGAAATTGATTGACAAAAATGATAGATAAGATAGAATCATAAAGGTATATGCTGAGTCAGGTTTCTGCAATCTGTCTCCAAATCTATAGATAGTTGATGAACATATTAGATTGCAATTACTGTAAGTCAAGGGCGGAAGATACAGTTTTACATTATATTGTCATTTTCATAATTTTGAAACTGCCTCAGTGGTCTCAAGGAAGCGTGGTTGCCTCGAGTGCGGGAGGTTGTCGGTTTGAACTCTGGCCAGGTCAAACCAAAGAATTTAGAATTGGTATTTGCTGCTTCTCCACTAATCATTAAGGCATTAAGGAGTAAGAGCATAGACTGGTCGGCTCAGAGTCAGAATAATGTGTCCGGGTAAGGTGACATGTCTTCCTGCGGACTGTTACCTTGTGAACTAGCACGTTACAAATCTGGTTCAGCGTGCCGGTCTAGTACAAAGCAGGGTCAATATGAATATTACATTAACATCATAACATGTTCTCGTCCTGAATATGCATACTAATTTGCCACTGGACATTAAGTAGCCATCCGTCATCATCATCATCATAATTTTGAAATATCTAATAGGCCTGGGCGAGTTATAAAAAAAATCACCAAATAAAACATAGGTGACCGTCCTTGTTTTCAAGAAAATCAAGGCTGAAAATTAGGGATTTTTACACTTATGTAAAAAAGATAAGCCAAGTTATAAAAAATTTGAAGATAAATCACGATTAATCCTAAAAGTTGCGTCCCCCCTTGGTAACCTCAACGTTAGCGAAAAATACATAATGTGGCTAGCTGACTATTTCGACATCTCCCGCCAATTACCCCTGCAAGGCAACTATTGGCAACATTTTTCAACTGTAATGTATTGCTTAAAAAGAGGTACCTTAAATAGTAATATTGTTCCAACTTCCAAACGTCTCAGGTATAGTTATTGCTTATTGTTGAATTTCTTTACGGCTTAAGTAAAAGACTTGTGGCAATTTAGAGCTAGACATGCCGGTACTGTGTACACACTCGTGTATTGTTTAAGACCATATGTTGACCTCTAGATGTATTTTGTTTTGGTTGGATGGCTGCTGTTTCATTGGCATACCCCCAAAACATCCTTTATTCAAATTTAAATTTTTTTTAAAGAATTTCATTCATCAAATCAAACTTATAAGGGTGAATGCTTACAGTTGAAGAAAACTTTGAAATTTTTTATGATTTTTGATCTAGCAAAAATGATTGAATTCATATCTGGAAGACATCACATGTTACCTATAGGCTATACTTCCCCCATAACTATGGTTTTGGATTTTGTGTTGTGTTTAATTTCTTATAATTTCCGTAGACTTTCATCCCATGTATATATACCTAAAATGTTAGAATCAAATGCAATTATCTTAAGGGCGTAGAAGTTGAGGTGTGTGAGGAACATAAGTTAGAGCATCATTTATATTGAATATAGTTCTAGTAAGGTTTTTTTAAATTACACACATGACATCCACTGAAAGTGATGTTTTGGGGGGAATTCGAATGCATAATGTTGCACAAAGAGTTAACTCCCTTGAAGCTGTATCGGATGCCCTTAAGCTGTGATTTACATGTTATATTCATTTCAACTTAAAAAATTATTATTTCAGTGACAGTTCATTCAATCCAACAGAGAAGTCTATATATGTACTTAGATGTAAAAATTGGACCCAAAAGGATCTGAAATGTCCCTATTTTAAATACAGCAAGAAGTATGATCTTGCATCATTGGCTAGCTTTGTCAAGAGCCTTACATACCCAAAAGTGGTAAGAATATTTTTATGTGGTCAAATTGTGGTAACGAAATACAGTGTCCAGTTCAGTATTGTACTTCAATGTTGGACCTATATATGTTCTTAATGTCAAAGAGACAACAACCCAACTTAAGAGCAGAAAACAGCCCAATGGGTCTTCAACGCATAAGAAATTCAAGCACCTTGAGGAGAGCTTCAGCTGGGCCCCTAAACAATAATGTATACTAGTTCAACGAAATGGATGCCACACTAAAATCGAAACATACAAATGAACCAAAATTTAAAAAAACACATAAGACTAATAAAGGCTAGAGATTCCTGACTTGAACAGGTGCAAAAATGCGGCTGGGTCAAACATGTTTCGTCTGAGTTTGAATTTAGAATAGGTAACAGAAAAACTAAGCAAAATTACAATGATTAACATATATTAACAAAGGACTACTAGCAGTTACTGACATGCCATCTCCAGACTGCAATTAAACTGATTGAAAAATAATGCCTTCATCATATGAAAATCGACCACGATCCCTCACATTAGGGTTTTAGTATCATGCCATCTAAATTATACGAGAAGAACAAAACCCTTATAAATTTTGCTTTGAAGTCTATTGCTCTGTATTATATTTACTACATACACTTCTTGTTTCAATAACATTTAATCTCTGCAATATATGGTCTTAAATTATCTCTATCATTGTTAAAGATGCTTTGAAATGCATGCCATTAAAGTCATGGTGGTCACTGCAACTGAAAATAAATCTTTGAAATAATTTCAAAGACATTTTTTAAGCCCCCGCCCGCAATAGCGGAGAACATAAATTAGTTTCTAAATTGGTTTCCATTCTCTAACTTTAGTTTGCCTCAACCAAATGTTATGAAACTTATACACAATGCTTATTGCCACAAAACTCAGATCAAGTACAAATTTGGATGGTGTCGCTTTTACCGTTCTGGAGTTCATAAATGGAAAATATGCTGAATTTTTCGTTTCCGTTCTTTAACTTTAGTTTGCCTCAACCAAATGTTATGAAACTTATACACAATGCTTATTACCACAAAACACAGATCAAGGTCGAATTAGGGTGGCATCACTTTATCAATTCTCTAGTTATGTCCCTTTATAATGCTATATGCAAGTGAGGACATCATCTGTGTCCCATGGACACATTCTCCATTTATTTTTAAATACATTTTATGGAAATATTGAGTTATTGTGGAATTTATCATTTTAAAATCAAGAAAACATAATACATACCACAAAAAAGAGAGAATAGGTATAGATTTAGCTTTATAATTGACTAATATAAGTATGAGGATATGTGGTATGATTACCAATGAGACAACTATATATAATGTTAACATTTTCCAGTTTATGATGCCTTCTGAAGATATAGAGATACCCTTCTATCAAGATAAAGGACCACCTGTAGGATATTTCTTCTATGACAAAGATTCTAAAGACACTGTTTTAAGTGCAGCCAATGACACAGCTGATGCTTTTTTCACAAATCTGGGAATAGTTGCTGTTGATGTGTAAGTTATATCATATAGTAATTAGGATATAATAAAGGAGATGTGGTATGATTGCCTATGAGACAACGTTTCACCAGAGTTAGACTATTGTATATGAATTTTTTCTCTCAGTATATTTATTTTCATGAAGTATACTGTAGGGATATTTTTGTGAAATAAATACACACAAATTAAATTTTTTTTATGTGTATGCAAACACATTTGAATTACCATCACCTTGATTAATCACTTTACCTGTATGTTTTACTGACTCAAGGTCTTTGAGTTAATAAGTAACTTGGTGGTATGACCTAAATTGACCCTTTTACAAATTACTTTAAAAAATAAAAAGTAAATTTTATGACCTAAACAAAAATAACACCTGTTTCATCTGCTTTAAATTATAGCATTGTATAGAATGCATTTTATATTGCAGAGACAATGTATCACCTAAAGAAAAAAGAGAACTTGTTATTGATGGAAGTTTTCCTGCTGTGGCATTTCATAAAAGAAATATGGTTTGTTATTGATCCAGGCATTCAAAAGAGATTTTTTGTTTGCCATGTCAAACATATCTTTTATAAATCATTTAATGGTTAGAAAAAAAAAATCCTGACCTCGAGGAAAACAAATGATAATTCATGAAATATAAGTATGAATTATTTATGGTATTTTTTATATCATCATTTGGAGCAGCCCAAAGTTAGTTTTGGGCTGGACTGATATCAGGGGACAATGGCATCTGATAACAACACATTGATTAATCTTTAATCCCCCTTATATGATGATAAGTGTATAATGTATGGACTATAATGGGTCATGTTTTGAAGTTGACACATCAATTGTATGTTGATTTTTTGAACACCACTTTGTCAGATTTCCAACAGAGTTGCTTAGTTATATTCTATGTTTTCTATACACGACAAAATAATTGGAAAACAGTTATTTTTTTCCCAAGTTGCACCGATTGTGAGCTTGATTTTAATTCTTTTAGTTGCTCCTATTTGACCTAGTACCAGAATGTTCTACCACAAAGTAGGTAACCTGTTGAAAAATTATATACTCTGGAGGCAAAAGGTGGTAATATGAAAACAGTCTATTGATTAATGCTACAAATAGGATCAAGTACAAGTTTTACAAAATGTCTGAAGTCTTCTATATTTATATATATATACGCAATCCAACGCAATCATAGGTTTGAACGTTGTTTTCAATTTAGACTTTTTTATAATTTTTCGTTTGGGCTTGTATTATATTTGCCTTCGGGTTTATATAATCCGTTCATCCTATTTCAACTCTTCAAAATTCAAGAGTCAATTCTTAATTGAGGTAAATTATATGGCCTTCCAAATACCGTTTCGATTCCTAACATCAATGAAGAGACATTAATTGTTGAAATCCGGATATGGTGTACCAATTTTTGCGCCTCATGTTTGCGGTATACCATCTTTTCCGCAAGTTTATTGTTTTCTGTTTGGTATTAAATTAATAATTAAGATCTGTTTTGTTACATCTGGTGATCTGTTCATTTGGAAATCGCCAAGGCAGTCAGCAGGGTTTAAGAACATCTGTTGTTCGACCTGCGAGTCAAATGTGTTTTGTTAAAATATACTATTTCACTTTTTTGGTCTTTTGGAAAATGTTGTTTGTGCTGTATTTAGACCCCTCTACCAAGAAATTTGTTTTGCATGCACACGTATAAAAATTGCGGTTTTTATCCAACGCAATCATAGGTTTGAACGTTGTTTTCAATTTAGACTTGTGTATATATATATATATTTTTTGGTCTTTTGGAAAATGTTGAATGTGCTGTATTTAGACCCCTCTACCAAGAAATTTGTTTTGCATACACACGTATAAAAATTGCGGTTTTTATCCAACTCAATCATAGGTTTGAACGTTGTTTTCAATTTAGACTTGTTTATATATATATACACAACGATATTAACAGTATTATATTATTTTGAGCATGCACATACAACAGTAATATATTGTAACTTTAGTGTAAATAAAACCTTTATAAATTATGGGTATAACTAAAATGATTTTGGAATGTAGAAAACGTGAACATGTGAAGATAGATACCATTTTCTAGTTTGGTTGTTGTATGCAGGAAGTAGTAATTGGGAAAGAGAAGAAAAAGTAGCATAATTGACAGTGCTATTGAAAGATTTATTTGCCAAACAATTCTGTCCTGATTTTCAGTTACTCGGAAGTAGTCACAATTTTCCAGTTAAGTCCCATGCCTTCCCTATATTTATACAGGTTATATATTTTTGCCCCGCCACTAGGCAGAGGGGGCATCAAGTGTTACCCTTGTCTGTCCATCTACATTGTTCCAAAATCAGTTTCCGTTCTCTAACTTTAGTTTGTCTCATCCAAATGTTATGAAACTTAAACACAATGCTGATTACCATAAAACACAGATCAAGTTCGATTTTGGGTGGTGTCACTTCTACAGTTCTCTAGTTATGCCGTTTATAATGTTATATGCAAGCGGGGGCATCATCTGTGTCCCATGGACACATTCTCCATTTAATAGCTCACCTGACCCAAAGGGTCAAGTGAGCTTTTCTCATCACTTGGTGTCTGTCATCCGTCGTCATCGTCCGTCGTTGTTAACTTTTACAAAACTCTTCCTCTCTGAAACCACTGGGCCAAATTAAACCAAACTTGGCCTAAATCATCCTTAGGGTATCTTGTTTAAAAAAATGTATTCGATGACCCTGCCCACCAATCAAGATGGCCACCATGGCTAAAAACAGAACATAGGAGTAAAATGCAGTTTTTGGCTTATATCTCTGAAACTAAAGCATTTAGAGCAAATCTGACATGGGGTGGAAAAATGTTCATCGGTCAAGATCTATCTGCCCTGAAATATTCAGACGAATCAGATTACCCATTGTTGGGTTGCTGCCCCTAAATTGGTAATTTTAGGAAATTTTGCAGTTTTTGGTTATTATCTTGAATATTATAATATATAGAGATATACTGTAAACAAAATATTCAGCAAAGTAAGATCTACATATAAGTCAACATGACCATAATTTTCAATTGATTCCTTAAGGAGTTATTGCCCTTTAAAGTCAATTTTTCACAATTTTTTGTTAATTTTTGTAATCTTTTACAATAATTTTTTCCTCAAATTACTTGGCCAAGTTAAACCATACTTGGCCTAAATCATCCTTAGGGTATCTAGTTTAAAAAATGTATCCGATGACCATGCCCACCTACCAAGATGGCCACCATGGCTAAAAATTGAACATAGAGGTAAAATGCAGTTTTTGGCTTATATCTCTGAAACGAAAGCATTTAAAGCAAATCTAATGGGGTTAAAATGTTCATCAGGTCAATTGAACCGCTAAGGAGTTATTGCTGTTTAAAGTCAATTTTTCGTAAATTTTTTTAATCTTTTACATAAATCTTCTCCTCTTAATCTATTTGGCCAAATGGAATTAAACTTAGCCACAATTATTATTAGAGTATCTTGATTGAAAAATGTATCCGATTACCCTGCCATAGAACCAAGATGGTCCCCATTGGTAAAAATAGAACATAGGGGTTTAGTATAGAAGTCTATGGGAAAAATGTAAAAAAACAGTTTCAAATGGTCACAACTTGATAGCTAATTTAAATAATGATAAGGGGTCTTCAGTAACTCTTGTAAGACCACAATGGGATGACTTTATTTTTTTGTCAGGGGGTGCAATTTTTTCAGGGGGGTGCTAATAATTTCTCCTTGATATGTTCCATTTTCTGAATTATTCAGTGTTACTTTTTCTATAAACCATTATTATAGCTTTTCTTTCAGCATACTTATATTGGGTGAATGCCTCCCAGACCCAGGGGTTAGTCCGGGTCAGGGGAACCCCTGCCCAAATTTTTTTTGAACGGTGTTCCATAAAACATTTAAAGGCATTTTCAGCATTATACAGGCTCTGGGTGAAATAAATTTTGGAACGTAGGAAAGGAAATTTTTTATTTTTTGTTAATTATCTTGAATATCATTATAGATTGAGATATACTGTAAACAGCAAGAATATCAAACAAAGAAAGATCTACAAATAAGTTAACATGACCAATTGGCAATTGACATCTTATTGGAGTTATGGTCCTTTAAAGTTATTTTCTGCAATTTATTGGTAATTTTTGTAAATCTTTTCAAAAATCTTCTGCTTTTAATTCAACTACAGGTCCAAATTAAACCAAACTTGGCCGCAATCATTATTAGGGTATCTATAGGATTTTAACCTTATTTTACATGATTTCCAAAACCACAGTAGATACAGGTGAGCGACACAGGCTCTTGAGAGCCTCTAGTTTATTTATGCCTTGAATTTGCAGATAATATTTTCGGCTTTCAACCGTTGTTGAATAAATTGTTTTTCTGTACAGGAAAAGCCAGTATTTATGGAAGGAGATTGGGGGGAATTACCGAAAATCCATCAGTTCTTTATAGAACAACTGAATAGACAAGATCCTTATGAGTTTGAGACGGAGAGTCATTCAGGATCCGATTTCATCACATCTGAAGATATGGAAGAAGATGGCAGAGAATTTAGTGAACAAGAACAGTTTGGGGATGATGAGATTGAGGAAGGTATTGTGTACTAATGATGCTTTGATAATGAAGGAAGTTAGAAAATGTCTTTACATTTTACAGCTAAACCACTGTTAATTCAGAAATTATTGTAAGGTTTTTATTAATGCGAATAATGTGGAAGAGTGAGTATTGCAATAATAAAATCTTGCGTTCTGAAATCTGATACATATATCTGTATGCAGATTGACCTGGAATTGCAATAGTTAGTTTCGCTTTTTTTTTACAATTCTTAAAAAATCACTATATTAAATGTATGCAATAATTTCTGAATTTACAGTATTTGAGTATACATATATATATACTTTTCCTGCATAAAAGTTTATTTTTAATTTTTGTTAGGAGAATAATGAATTCCTTATTAACAATTGTTAACTGTTAACAAACTGGTAAATTAGGGTTATCTTTCATCCTGTTGTTATCAATTCCATGGTCTGATTGATTAAACATGATCAATGCATGGGTAACCAAATGTTATATAAGTTTTATGTTCCTAACAAACAAGCAAACATAACTTCTTTTCTTTGTTCTGTAATTCATTCAAGTTAATAGAAATTTTACAGTTCATTCTTGTGTCAAAAATGTGATAGACATTAATGGAAAATTGCATTATATTATATAAATATAAATATAAAAAGATTCAAAGACAACAACACTAAAGCTATCACTAAGTTGCGGTATCTTTTATTGTGTGGACTAGTTTCGCCACGGGGGTGGCATCATCAGGACAGTTACATAATGTTATAGATTACTGAAGTACAACAATTACAGTTTACTTTGCGGTTCAACAAAAATTATAGATAACGGTATAAAAACCTGAACCTGCTGTTGCCGGGACTGAATTGCAATAGAATATAAAATGTAAAGAAATTAATAAAATGTTATACAATAGAAATAAAATTGTGGATAAATTGTATTAATGGATAATAGCACTAGGTATCCACTTTAGCTATCCTACCATATGACTACCATTGATAGGTGTTGGTTCACTTTTTTCTTTCTAAATAAATATACAAGTGACTATCAAAATGGAAGAAAATTCATCTTTAGATTCTTGCTGGAAGTAAATATTTTGTAGATGTTTTTTATACTTAAAAGCCTTATACAGATATCAAACCTAGAAGATCTGCTATGCATTCTTGATCATTGAGTCATAATTTGAGTGATTGTGCAAGATTACACTCTAAATGGAGTAGAATAAAGACTGCTTAAATGTTCATGTAGATCATAAACTTTTTAAATTTGTTGTAGTTGAGACACAAGACGATGCTGTAGCTGAGGCAGTGTACCAGTCAAGGAGGAAACTTCCACAAGTGGATCTAATAGATGCTCTGACTGACAAAACTTTCCCTACCACTATTAAAAATAAAGATCTGGTCTTTGTTTTGTTTTATCTTCCATGTAAGTATGTCACTTTTTTTAAGGTAACTTTCATTCTGTTCTTTAACTGCTGAGACCTGGATCTTTGTTTCATTGTTCCTTTCTAGTTTACTGCATGTGTTGAAATGTCAGGATCATATCATGCTGCCATCAGCATAGACCTATAGCGGGGGCAATAAGTGTTACCATTGACCGTCCGTCCATCCATCTGTCCATCCTTCCATCCATCTTTCCGTCTGTCCCATTTTTGTTATGGCACTCTAACTTTAGCTTGCCACCTGCAAATTTTCTGAAACTCATACACAATGCTAAGAACCAAAACACACAGACAGAGTTTGAATTTCGAATGTGAGTCATTTACTGTTCTAGAGTTATGCCCCTTTTTAAATTGCAAAAAGTAAAAGTAAATTTACAACGATGCATGAACAAAACAGACATAATAGGTAACATTGTCAAAATATAGGTACAGCAGTCATCACTGTGTCACAATCTCAAAACAAACAGACATTTAACAAAGAAGCACAAAAAGCATCTATTAAATTTAACAACCACATTCATTGCTTACTTATATATGTATTATAATTCAACCCATAAAGGATTGAAATATTTAAAGTCCTGTGACTGCATTCACATCTACTCTTAGTGTAGAGTCGCGTGTTTGACGCCAGAATATGTAAACTTCACACAGGAAGAAATATAAAATTATTTTGTCGTTCAAAGTATTTTCAAAATTATAATTTCACATGGGGAATGGTGGTATACAGGGTTGAAAAATCAAAAGTTTTTGTTAGAACTAATTTCAGAAAAAGACCGAGATTTAGAATTATCCAGAAGATCTTTAGAATTTTTAAGAATCCACATATGGTTAATACCACTACGCCAGTAAAAATAATTTTGTCGTTCAAAGTGTTTTCAAAATTATAATAGAACAATAACATAATGGTATTATAATAGAACAATAACAAAATGGTGGGATCTTTAAAAGTACAGAGCCACATCATATGTACCAAAGAAACACATAAAGTCACACGCACAAAACACACCAGCAAAAATGAAAGATAATACAAACACATTGACGGGATGTATAATTACCGAGCCACGTCAAGGTGGGGCATTCGTGTCCTTGGACACATTCTTCTTTTATTTACAATAATTTTCTGTTCCTATTTCTGAGGCCTTGTTTGAAAATTATAGTTTTTGTTTTACACATGTTATATTCTTTCATTTAATGCTTTCATCAAATTCTGAGCAGATTGTACGTTAGTTATAATTAAAATTACAAGTAACTTCATATCTTTCCATTTATATTCTTAAGAAAATATAAAATACAGCTTATCAGCTTATTTTATTTCAAACTATCGATACATGATTATTCATATAAACTTTATTAATGTTATAATATTATCAAATCTTATATATATTGTGTTTATGCAATCTGTTTATCATTACTTAGTTGGCATCCATGTGCCTTTTCAATGAAGGCTATTTAGAGTAAAGGCAATGTCCTTTTGCCTTTCCTCGTTTTTGATTTGTCAAGCAGGCTACAACCCTACATCTGTATATAAGTTAAATACTTTTTTTTAGGCCAATTTATGTACAATCTGTTCACTGCATTCTGATATTAAATAGAAATTATTGATTGATTATTTTTTTTAAAATTACATAGTTATAAGAAAAATTTACGGATTTATTATTATTCCTGGGATACCAATTTTCATGGTTTTCATGGGTATAAGGTAACCATTAATTTAAATGTACAATGAAGTACACATTTTCCATGGGCTTGAAAGCAGAATTTGGGAAAAAAGCAATATCCAAGAAATACAATCTATTGCTCAATCCTGAAAAAATTGATATCCACAAAAAACAAATGAATTCACAGTAGGCATATGCTTTTGTTTGTGAATTTGTTCTTTTATGGTAAAATATTTTGCTTTATTAAGTTGATGACAAGAGCATGGCATTCTTGTATGCGTATGCTGATGCTTCTAAGGAGATAGAAAGTGACCCAGCTCGACCTCTGACACGGGTCAATTGTCATGATTGGACAGATGTCTGTGGTAATGAAAAGATTAACATATATCCTACCATGAGGATGTACCGTAATGGAAAGATGTTGAAAGATTACAAAGGGTTGTTAGATAGCCAAGCTGTCGTTACAACTGTCAAATTGTAAGTTTTTAATGAATTACTCTGAATTATTTGTTATGAAAAAAGTGTGTTGTGAAAATGTAAAGTACATTTTTTCATTCTCCATTTTGAGTATGAAAAATTGTCAAACATTCTGAATATTTTATGATAGTTGTCTAGACTAAACACCTCGAAAAATTTAAAGGCTGTTGTTTGTTTGATCAACTACTATTAAAGTCATGCAAAGTTAATTCAAACTATATTTTCTTTGATACACAAAAGATTGATAGGATCACACACAGACTAAGTTCTCAAACAAACATCACTTGAAAAGAAAATGAACATGTCATCTTACCACATTGCTAAAACTTGAAATTATATATGATAAACATGTATTCAAAAAATAATTTCTGTTTTTTTTCTTCATGTAAAGGCTCAATCAGTCTAACCCAGTAAATTTAGCAGATTCAACATCAATCATGGATTTGATGAATGGGGTGTTACCAAATAGTAAACAGGTTGTTACCGAAACTGTTGTCATGGCATTGTTTGATTTGTCTCATGATAAAGGTAAAAAACTTCACATTCTTGTATGAATTATATAGATAAGTACTATTTTGTTATACATTGTTTTTTTGTGATGTTCTAATATAATGTATATATCATTGTGAGGATAAAACAACCAAAACAGACTAAAAAATAAAAAGTTTAAAAACAGAAATGAACTCATTTTTTTATACGGCCGCAAAAAATTTTGCAGTCATATATAAGTATCACGTCGTCTGCGTCGCCCGGAGACATTTGGTTTCCGGACAATAACTTAGTATATTTAAATAGAAATCTATGAAATTTAAACACAAGGTTTATAACCACAAAAGGAAGGTTGGGATTGATTTTGGGGGTTATGGTCCTAACAGTTTAGGAATTAGGGGCCAAAAAGGGGCCCAAATAAGCATTTTTCTAGTTTCCAGACAATAACTTGTGGAAAGGTGTATGGATCTCTCTGAAATTAGACCACAAGTTTCCATACCACAAAGGGATGGTTAGGATTGGCTTTGGGGGGTTATGGCTCAAACCGTTTAGGAATAAGGGGCAAAAAAGGGGGAAAAACAAGGGTTTCCTGGTTAATGGACAATTAAAAAAAAGTACAATGTTATGTTTGGATTACCTCCCTTACACTGCTTTAAAATTATGTATAAAGAAATGTTGTATTGTCTTGAGGTGATTAGCTGTCAATTTATTTTTAGAATTTACTATTAAAAATTCTGATTAAGGAATATTAATTTTAGCCATGATTATGTATGTCATTTTCTATTTTAAGACTTTTATGATGTATTTAAATGGGTAATTATGGTTGCAAACTCCATTGGAAATTTGAATTGAGATTATGACCATATCTTGAGGAAAAGATTTTTTTTTTTTGAAAAGGGGGGGGGGGGGGAGGGGGAGGTGAAAAAAAAATTGTTGTTGGGGGGGGGGGGGGGGGGTAAAAAGAGATTGTGGGGGGGACAATTTTTTCTCATTTTCTTCAAAATTTTTTTCTTTGCAAAAAAGGGGGGGGGGGGGGGGGTCAATTCGCAACAGCATAGTGTATTGCACAAAAGCAAAAAATATTGTGTCCTTTTTTGCCCCAACTGTTCAGGGTTGGACCTCTGCGGTCGTATCCAGCTGCGCTAGGCGAAGCAATTTATTTCAACATAAAAGGTCTATATTAAGCATGGATTTAAGAATGCATTCAGAACTTTTAGAAGTTATTTTAATTAACTGCATAGATGATTTTCTTCTGTAATGTAAAAGTAATAAGAAAGCAGGTGTAAAACTGTGTTCTTTTGTGAGATTAATGTTGTTATCAAGATAAAATATGAATCAATTGAGGTGTGGGGTATACATCAGCAATCTAAAGACATCGAAGGGTTATATGCAGTCTTTAACGTTAACACTACACAGATATATATAAAATGTTTATAAATCTTTCCACTTACATGGCGCATCTGTTTCACAAATATCACTATAAATGCTATTTTGTTAAAAAAAACAAGGTCATGATTTTTCAGATTACATTATGATTTACATTATGGGATGAAAAAAATACCCATTTAAATCTATATTGGCAAATATTTTCCAGTTGGGTCTGTACAATATACTTTAGAAGTGATGGCAGATTATAATTTATACACAAGACAAATTAGAGTTGTCTTTCTTACTATTACAATTTTTTGAACTATAGCTTCAGTTAAAATTTTAATGCATAGATAATGCATAGGTTTACAGATGTGAGATATCAGTACTTATCTGTTAAGACATCTACAATGATTATCAACATATGTATTCTTCTCACCAAAATATTATATATTTTCAGCATTGAAGGTATTTAAAAATGTAGCCAGTCAACTAGAAGATACTATGACCTTTGCTTACAATGATGATGGAGCTGCCAAAAAAATGTATGTTTGAATAAAGGGCTAGCTTATATAGCAATAATTCAATATAATGTACATGATACTTTTCACAAGCAAATTGCTCAAATAAATAAATCAGACAAATAATTGCAATCACAGAGTTAAGTATGTATTAAGGATACATTAATATGCATCAAAAATACAGACTAGGAAAATATTCAGACTTTATGAGTGGTGTGATGGTTCTCCTGTTTTTCTAAGTATCTAAGTTTAATGACTGTCTGTTTTTCTGAAATGTTTTGGTTCTTCTCTGCTATTAATGAATTGTTGAGGAATTTAAGAGGGTCAGATAGGCTTGTATTGTAGTTGTATCAATTTGTCAGATTAAAATGACATGTTTTACTGCAGACTATATCATTGTATTGTTCTACTGAAAAGTTTAAGTTTTGGGTTTAAGTTACAGTTCATCTTTTTCAGACCAGACTTTAAATTTACAGTTCCATCTATAGTTGTACTAAGAAGGTCTGATATTCTCAAACCACATGTAGTATATACTGGTAAAATGGAAGTTACTGATCTGAAAGATTTTATACTCAAAGCCAGTATCCCATCCATGGTAAGTCTTCTTGAAGAAACTTAGAATACTTCCACAGTTGTGGAAGGGAGAGAATTAATTGAAACATGTAGTATATACTGGTAAAATGGAAGTTACTGATCTGAAAGATTTTATACTCAAAGCCAGTATCCCATCCATGGTAAGTCTTCTTGAAGAAACTTAGAATACTTCCACAGTTGTGGAAGGGAGAGAATTAATTGAAACATGTAGTATATACTGGTAAAATGGAAGTTACTGATCTGAAAGATTTTATACTCAAAGCCAGTATCCCATCCATGGTAAGTCTTCTTGAAGAAACTTAGAATACTTCCACAGTTGTGGAAGGGAGAGAATTAATTGAAACATGTAGTATATACTGGTAAAATGGAAGTTACTGATCTGAAAGACTTTATACTCAAAGCCAGTATCCCATCCATGGTAAGTCTTCTTGAAGAAACTTAGAATACTTCCACAGTTGTGGAAGGGAGAAAATTAATTGAAACATGTAGTATATACTGGTAAAATGGAAGTTACTGATCTGAAAGATTTTATACTCAAAGCCAGTATCCCATCCATGGTAAGTCTTCTTGAAGAAACTTAGAATACTTCCACAGTTGTGGAAGGGAGAGAATTAATTGAAACATGTAGTATATACTGGTAAAATGGAAGTTACTTATCTGAAAGATTTTATACTCAAAGCCAGTATCCCATCCATGGTAAGTCTTCTTGAAGAAACTTAGAATACTACCACAGTTGTGGAAGGGAGAGAATTAATTGAAATATGTAGTATATACTGGTAAAATGGAAGTTACTGATCTGAAAGATTTTATACTCAAAGCCAGTATCCCATCCATGGTAAGTCTTCTTGAAGAAACTTAGAATACTTCCACAGTTGTGGAAGGGAGAGATTTAATTGAAACTAAAGTTTTCTATGATTGTTATGCTTTTGATCATTTCAAAACGTGCTACCAATGAAAATCAGTGTATTCTCAATAAAAATTTGCTATTTAAAGAGACATGGTATTCCTATATTGATTGCCTAGTCAAGTCTTCATTTCAGCTTAATAAACAATTATAACAACATGGCCTTTATCAAAGGGAGTTTACAGTTTCAGATGTAAATTTTGAAATTATTTCTCATTTTATAAAAAAAATATGATTTGCATGAAAATTTGACCTATATAATTTTTCTGTATTTACCAAAAAGTATGTTTTTTTATTATATGATGAAAATATGACATAAGGAATATAACAATAATTGAAACTCATATTTAAATTTATTTATATGCATACACTGTTTTGTTTGTAGCCCGAGTTAACAGTAGAATGGTTTCCAGCATTGTACAGACAACAGAAGCCATTTGTAATCCTGTTTCTGGATCAGTACCAGGAATCAGCCAGGCTAAAGAAAGTCATTGAAGATATTGTTATATCTGGAAAATTCCCCATGCTACAATTTGTTTGGATGAAGTAAGTGAATATTTCTAAGCGTCTCTGTGAATGTGCCCAGACCATATAGATTTACCTTTGCTTTGTGAACGTGCCCAAACCATATAGATTTACCTTTGCTCTGTGAATGTGCCGAGACCATATAGATTTACCTTTGCTCTGTTAATGTGGCCAGACTATTTAGATTTTCCCTTTGCTTTGTGAATGTGGCCAGACCATATAGATTTACCTTTGCTCTGTGAATGTGGCCAGACCATATAGATTTACCTTTGCTCTGTTAATGTGGCCAGACCATATAGATTTACCTTTGCCCTGTGAATGTGGCCAGACCATATAGATTTACGTTTGCTTTGTGAATGTGGCCAGACCATATAGACTTACCTTTGCTCTGTGAATGTGCCCAGACTATATAGATTTACCTTTGCCCTGTGAATGTGGCCAGACCATATAGATTTACCTTTGCTTTGTGAATGTGGCCAGACCATATAGATTTACCTTTGCTCTGTGAATGTGCCCAGACTATATAGATTTTCCCTTTGCTCTGCGAATGTGCCCAGACTATATAGATTTACCTTTGCTCTGTTAATGTGGCCAGACCATATAGATTTACCTTTGCCCTGTGAATGTGGCCAGACCATTTAGATTTACCTTTGCTCTGCGATTGTGCCCAGACTATATAGATTTTCCCTTTGCTCTGCGAATGTGCCCAGACCATATAGATTTACCTTTGCTCTGTGAATGTGGCCAGACCATATAGATTTACCTTTGCCCTGTGAATGTGGCCAGACCATATAGATTTACGTTTGCTTTGTGAATGTGGCCAGACCATATAGATTTACCTTTGCTCTGTGAATGTGCCCAGACTATATAGATTTACCTTTGCCCTGTGAATGTGGCCAGACCATATAGATTTACCTTTGCTTTGTGAATGTGGCCAGACCATATAGATTTACCTTTGCCCTGTGAATGTGGCCAGACCATATAGATTTACCTTTGCTCTGCGAATGTGCCCAGACTATATAGATTTTCCCTTTGCTCTGCGAATGTGCCCAGACCATATAGATTTACCTTTGCTCTGTGAATGTGGCCAGACCATATAGATTTACCTTTGCCCTGTGAATGTGGCCAGACCATATAGATTTACCTTTGCTTTGTGAATGTGGCCAGACCATATAGATTTACCTTTGCTCTGTGAATGTGCCCAGACTATATAGATTTACCTTTGCCCTGTGAATGTGGCCAGACCATATAGATTTACCTTTGCTTTGTGAATGTGGCCAGACCATATAGATTTACCTTTGCTCTGTGAATGTGCCCAGACAATATAGATTTACCTTTGCTCTGTGAATGTGCCCAGACAATATAGATTTACCTTTGGCTATCTATTTGTACATATGTCAATATTTCATTACATGGTATGATTGCCAATGAGACAGACAATTTTTCCATCAGCGTGCAAATGACTAGGATGTAAACAATTGTTTTATATCAATGATATTTTAGAATTATTATGGTATTATATAGTACAACTTTAATCAGCCATAATTATGTTAGTCACCTTAAGCTACATTACATGCATGAATGACAAAATGATAAACTTAAGTTTTTAAGTTAATTTCTCAGGAACTCGCGCTTTATTTCAGTTATGCATGGATTTATAACTAAAATATAACTCTCTAATAGTTTGGTCACTATAACCAAAAAACTCTCTAATAGTTTGGTCACTATAACCAGAATATCAAATTTGAGCAACTTTGATTAAGTTTTTTCAGGTGTCTGAAAGCTTTTGTGACTTAAGTTATTATCACTCACCGCTACAATTATTAGTCCCCTACCGACGAAGTCGAAGGGGACTTTAGGTTTGCACTCCGTCCGTCTGTCTGTCCATCTGTCAGTCCGGCAAATCAGTTTTCCAGACTTTTTTTCTTCATGCTTGAAGATATTGATTTGATATTTGGTGTATTGTTTTATCATGACAAGTTACAGGTCAAGTTCAATTTTCACGATTTTAGCTTTTCTCTTTGTTCAGTTAAAGCCCTTTCCCTAGAATTAAATTTTTGACAAAATACATATTAATTACTAGATTTCTGTTCAAAGGGAAATAACTCATTTTTTAAAAGATTTTTAAAAGATATTTTTATTAATGATAAATGACATTTTGGATTTGTTCCCTTTTCTTTGGTAAATTGTTTGAAGAATTTAGTGGTAGGTTTGTTTGTTATTGATTCTGTATAAACTAATTTTCTGAATGCTATATATTAAAAATTTGTTTGGATGAAGTGAACTCTTTTATTTAGATAATTATCTATTTTTGAAAAAGGATATATTTCATTTAAGAAATAATTCATTGAAGCCATAGATTTGTTGGAAATTTACACATGGCCTCGGCCATGATATCCAAATTTATCCTGAGTGTAAGTGAGGGATAAAATTAACGAATATCATCGCCCAGGCCATGTGTAAATTCACTAAAATAATCAGTTTTCCACACTTTTTTTTTATCATTCTTGAAGATATTGATTTGATAATTAGTATATAGTTTAATCATGACAAGTTACAGATCAAGTTCGAATTTTGTTCCGGTCTGATGATTTTGTGCAGAGTTATGGTCTTTGGACATAAAAAATTCACTTAAATAATCAGTTTTCAACAGTTTTTTTCGTCATGCTTGAAGATATGGACTTGATATTTTTATGTAGTTAAATACACCATGACAAGATAAAGATCAAGTTAGAATTTCGTTCCATTACAATGAATTTTTAACCGGTAGGGGACTATGTATTGCCATGCAATACTCTCAGAATGCTTGTTTTGCATGGTACAACACAGCTTGGTTATATTTAATTGACCTTATAAGCAATGCATACTCCTCTAGAGTTAAGTTAAATCCAAACGCATAAACCACATTTTTTTTATTTTCCAGTGCTGACGCCAAGTCGGTTGGTAGATCTGTCTTAAATGAATATGATAAAGATAGCAGGGTTCCAGAAATATCATATGTAGATCTGAAAAAGGTCAGTTTTTAATGATTTTTGATATTGATATAAAAGGTACAAATGAGAATGAAGATATACAATCATTGTATGTTAAGCAGATATGCATATAAATATTTACTAAGTAATTAATAGATGAAATATTGCTAAATAAATGTTCAAAGCCTGATCAAAAGAATGTTATTTTTCAATTCTTGATGGAAAAAAAAAATCATGAAAAGCTGCAACATTTAAACAAGAAATCTAAAAACTTTAAAATCTGAACTGATGATGGTGACCTGTGAATGTTCACATCTTTGTCCTTTGGTTTCCATGGATAGTTGTCTCATTGGCAGTGAAGCCATATCTCCTTATTTTTATTATAATTACGGAAATAAGGTTATTAATTTAGGGTTCTAGGGAAGGGGAGCTCAAATTGTATCTATGCAATAGCTTATGATTTGTTCAACAGATGCTTTTCAGATTTTAATATGTTGTAACTGGTGACAAACTTGAGGTCAAGTTCTATATTGATAGGTTTCACTTTTGCTGCTAAGCAATTATGTTCCTTGATTTATACATGCGACCTGAATCAATGGCAGTGACGCAGGTCCAGACTTGGTATTGGTCTTGTTAAAATTTTAACTACTTTCACCTTTTGATAGAGTTGTATTCTAGAAGCAACATTTTATGGCATTGATTATAATTTCTGTTACTGATTTTTCATATGATTATTTGCAGGGTATTGTATTCAATAACAAGGATGAACATCCATTGGAAGATACTGTTTCAAAATGGTTGACCAGTGTCATGGACGAGACGATTGAACCATCTAGTTTGTATTATAAATTTATAGATATAAAGAATAATTATAATACCCCCGCTTTAAAGAAAAGGGGGGGGGGGTATACTGTTTTACCTCTGTCTGTCTGTCTGTCCATCCATCCATCCATCCATCAGTCCGTCCGTCCCATGAATATTTTTCGTCGCATCTTTCTCAGGAACTACATTACAAGGATTTCTGAAATTTGGTTTCAGGGGTTATATGAGTCAGCTATACCTCGTGATGCGTTTTCAGATTCATCACTTAACAACTTCCTGTTTACAGAACACTTATATCATTTTACACATGACATCCAAATGAAAATATTCGTCACATTTTTCTCAGGAACTACATTGCAAGGATTTCTGAAATTTGGTTTCAGTGTTTATATAAGTCAGCTATACCATGTGATGCGTTTTCAGATTCATCACTCAATGACTTCCTGTTTACCGTCAAGTATTTGGGCTGGGGGTATCATCAGTGAGCAGTAGCCCGCAGTTTCACTTGTTTTCAATAAATTCAAAATGTGACAATAAGGCACAGAAATTAAAAAAATGTGAAACATGCATAATTAATAATGTTTTACTATCATTCGCCTATATCCCTTTTCTAAATCTGCCACACTAATAGCAGCATGTACAAAATTGACACAAGAAGTGATAGTATATATAACACATAATTCACAATAATGTGAAGCAAGCAACTACAATGTTAGTGTTTCCATGATGTTTAACTGTTTCAAATAAGGCTGAAACTTAGATTTGATTTGAAGGATAGATACTATTGTTACAACACAGCTAAAAAGTGTGGCCAGTATAAAGTGGAACGGTATCTTTCTTGCTTAAATATAAAGCTTTGAATTACTAAATAAAATCTACAAAAATGTATTACCAGATCAATTAAACTTGTATGTGATAGTGCTACTAATGCTTTTGAAAAGAGGTATTTTTCCATGCCCTGTAATTGTTTACATCTTTGTCTTTATTGATAGTTGTCTCATTGGTAATCATTCCACATCTCCTTAGTTTGATATTGATAATTTCATAAAGAATAGAAGATGTTGGAAAATATCAGGAAGGTAATTTGAGGGGTATCAATGTCATACCATTGTAATGACCTTGAAACAAGAAATATTTTCATTTTTTTTTCATGGTTTTATGAACTTTGGTACTAGTCATTTGAGTACTGGTAACTTAAATTAGAATTGGCATATATCTAACTTTTGAATTCTTTTGAAAATTTTGCAGTACGATAACAGAAGAAACTATGTAATTTGTCACTAACACAGGAATAACTGAACATTTGTTATTCAGATGAAAAGGTTGTTCAAATAAGTTTTTGTCTCGCCTTGACAGAGTCAAAAAGCGAGACATAGGTATGCTGTTTCCAGCAGCGGCAGCGTCAACAATGTATTAGTTTGTGATTAAGTCTAGTTAATGGTGAACCACTAGCGGTAGGTCAGTGATATTTGGTACACAGTTGTATCAGCATTGGCACATCTCATTTCCATGGAGATTATTTGACCCTGCCCCCTCAGTCATGGTCTTTTGACTTTGAAACTTTTGCTTAGTTTACATGTATTAGTTTGTGATTAGGTCAGTTTATGAGGAACCACTAGTGGTAGGTCAATGATATTTGGTATGCAGTTGTATAAGCATGGGCACACCTCATTTCCATGGAGATTGTTTAGCTATGTACCTTCAGTCATGGTTCATTGACTTTGAATATTTGCATAACTTACATGTTAAAGTATTGCTATTTTAATTTCAACATTTGCATTATCAAAATTACAAAAAGGCGAGACATATCTATGTGTTAACAGTTTATTTTTATTTTTTTTATTTTTTCTGTTTCCAAGTCAAAATATTTCTATTTGAATCAAGTACTGTTGATATGAGACAGGAACTTGTTGCTACAATATTACAAGACATCCACATCAATCTTATATTTTATGGGTACACACAATATTAATGAATTTTGTCAAGCAAGATATAACAATGTACTGGCTTTATAATTAGATAAAATGACCAAAAATACAGTATCTTGACCAGTAACTCATAGAATTAATTAACTAAAATGTGTACGTATGAGAGAGGTAAAAAGAAGAACAAAATTAGTTTTGATAAAAATACAAGAATTGTTTGTTTTAGATAAATAGTTATGAAATTTGCAATGCATTTAATTATTACAGAGGTTTTAGAACAAGGAGACTGGAAGCCAAAGAAGCATGGTTATGATTTCCTGTCATTAATAGACAAAGAAAATGAAAGAAAGAAGAAAAAGAAGCATAGAAATCAGGAAGAAAGAACCATAGAGGAACAAGGTGTCGGTGAGTTATTATCTAAAATGTCTAAAACTGAATACTTATATTTGGATAACTTTGCTTGTGATTCAATAATTTATGAAAATAATGCCACACCATTAATTTTGTCTTAGATTAACTGTTAGTGAGTCTTAATATTCTGGAATTATTATCCATAGTATCTGAAAGCTATGTGTAGTTCATTTGGATAAATAAAAATAAATCAAATAATGAAAAAGCATATGATTTTTATGCAAACAACACATGTTTCTGAAATAACCTTCCATGGGTACTCTAGACTAAAAGTTTAGAAGGCTGAATAAAAGTTTATAGTAGAGAAAAGCCAAAATGATTAAGGTTATCTCATTTCTTTATAGGTTTTGATCAAGATGGGAGAGAAATTGATGTAGAAGAAGAAAGAGCAAAGTCTGAGGCCAAAAATCTTGACTCTGAGGAAGATGAAGTAAGTCTTGTAACTGAAATGTTATTTACATCAAAACAAGATTCCTTGCTACAAAATTAGGGTTGTAATATTAGTTATACAGTGCAAGTGACCTGATATAGACCCCATATATGTCGTATTAGGTCATTAGCAAACTGTGTAATGAATTTATCTTACCGACTATGTTAACATGTGGCATTTAGACTAGTGGCCTATCAGAGTGATCAAGTCTTCAATATTATGAACCTTCTTCCATTTGTCTATACAAAAACAAATGCCAACAATAACAACTTGTTAGCTTTTGATGTGTTTTCTGCCTTTATTTTCAATTGTTCATCATCAATTTCTTCTTCTGTTGTCCAGGCGAAACGTTTCAGATTTTTCCTCAACACCTTGTTGTTTTTATAAAGGGACGTAACACCACTACTAACCGTGTATTAAAATAAATTACATCCACTAACCCAATATTAGATATACAGGGTCGCCATGCGGTCGCCTTTAACCAATAATATTCCTAGAAATGTATAGGAGCCCACATATATGAAGATATGTTGGTGTAGGGTCAAAGTTTTGTTCTGACCACATCATATATTGAAAAACTATGCATGTGCATTACATTGATTACCTGACATATTGGAAATTTATAATGTCCTGCATATGGTAGTAGGAGGGCATTAGGTTTTCCTGTCTGTGTGTCTGTGATTGTCCATCAGTCCTGTAACGGATTAAAGTTTTGTGTTGAGGAAGTTTACAATAAAGTTGTGGTCACATCAACTTTAAACTTTACGCATGTTCATTATGTCAGATATGAGAACTTTACAATTATATGCCAAGCTAAGATTTTGACCCAGATGTTTGTTCCAAGAACATGGAAATATGATAGTATGAGCTGGGTATAGTGTCCTTAGCTAATGGACACATAAATTTGTTTCAATTTCAAATTTAAACCATGAAACCTGTTGCTAAAGATCATTTAGCTTCAATATATAAACATGGTTAATATTGAGTTAATATAAATGAAAAGTATTAATAGTATCAAGTTGGAAAATTTTATCAGAATTTAGGAATCAAGTATTGAAAAATGTTAAATGGGTCTATATATGATTAGACATATAGACACATATTTGAATAATGAAATTTTGTTTGTCTTTTTAGCTCACCTGGCCCAAAGAGTCAATTTTTAACCATTTTTCATAAATTTTTGTAATCTTTTACAAAAATCTTCTCCTCTGAAACTACTTGGCCAAATCTAACCAAACTTGGCCACAATCATCATTGGGGTATCTAGTTTAAAAAATGTGTCCGATGACCCAGCCAACCAACCAAGATGGCCGCCATGGCTAAAAATAGAACATAGGGGTAAAATGTAGATTTTGTCTTATATCTCTGAAACCAAAGCATTTAGAGCAAATCTGATATGGGGTAAAATTGTTTATCAGGTCAAGATCTATCTGCCCTGAAATTTTCAGATGAATCGGACAACGCGTTGTTGGGTTGCTGCCCTTGAATTGGTAATTTAAAGGAAATTTTGCCGTTTTTGGTTATTATCTTGAATATTATTATAGATAGAGATAAACTGTAAACAGCAATAATGTTCAGCAAAGTAAGATCTACAAATAAGTCAATTGACCAAAATGGTCAGTTGACCCCTTAAGGAGTTATTGCCCTTTATTGTCAATTTTTAACCATTTTTCGTAAATTTTTGTAATCTTTTACAAAAATCTTCTCCTCTGAAACTACTAAGACAAATTTAACCAAACTTGTCCACAATCATCATTAGGGTATCTAGTTTAAAAAATGTGTCCGATGACCCTGCCCACGAACCAAGATGGCGGACATGGCTAAAAAATAGTACATAGGGTAAAATGCAGTTTTTGGCTCATATCTCTGAAACCAAAGCATTTAGAGCTAATCTGACTAGGATTAAATTGTTCATGAGGTCAATTTCTATCTGCCCTGAAATTTTCAGCTTTTGGTTATTATCTTGAATATTATTATAGATAGAGATAAACTGTAAACAGCAATAATGTACAGCTAAGTAAGATCTACAAATAAGTCAACATGACGAAAATTGTCAATTGACCCCTTAAGGAGTTATTGCCCTTTATATTCAATTTTTTACAATTTTCATAAATTTTGTAAATTTTTGTAAATTTTTACAAAATATTTTCCACTGTAACTACTGGGCCAAGTTCATTATAGATAGAGATAATTGTAAGCAGCAAGAATGTTCAGTAAAGGAAGATCTACAAACACATCACCATCACCAAAACACAATTTTGTCATGAATCCATCTATGTCCTTTGTTTAATATGCACATAGACCAAGGTGAGCGACACAGGCTCTTTAGAGCCTCTAGTTTTATAACCCCTTGGGAAATAAGTGTCTTTAAACATACAGAGACCTCTTAGGTCACAATCACAGGGAGCTTAGGGTTTAAATATAAATTATATTTGTTGATTAAATATGTTTTAAAGAATTATTATTCTCTGTTCACTCTAGATTTGAGAAAATAGCCAAGTTTCTGACGTGAAAATAAAATGTGTATTTCACTTTAATTAAACTTCCAAAGCAGTATATAATTAGATTATTGATGTTGCTTATAAGTATTGATTTAAAATCTTGTTAGCATTAATAGATATGAATGTACTCCTTCAGATAAGAGAAGAATTGGTGGCCCTTCATAAAACACGCCTTTATAAATCTGGTGGAGGAAGGAGGCATAAGGATCATCCTGAAGGAAGTGAGGGCAAGATTATCTCCCCTCCTCTAGTAAATGGAAAATATAAAGTGACAGCAGATTCTGCCAGTCATGAAGGTCAAAGGTCAAATGAACACAAATCAAAACATACTGAATTATAAGTTATATGAAGAACTTGTGTAATTCATAAGTTACTTTTATTAATAAGTCCATATGAGCTTTCTACATACAACGTTAATCAAAATATTGTCAAAGTAAAATGTAAAGTGACACTTTCATATATACCATAACATTTTTTTTTACAAATTTTTGTTATTTTTTTAGATTCCTAGACATGTAGAAAATCTGTAGAAATATGACGGCAAAAAACTGAAAATGTATTATGATTTATAGGCATGTCCTAATTGTTGCAAGATAAATTATATGTAAATGAGATCCTTCCGTGATTTGAATACCATGTCGATTTGATGGTGAACAGAAAGGTTTTGATTTTAGTTGTTTTTTTGGGTCTGATTATCTTTTGAACAGCTTTTGTGCAAGTATGAATATTTCTGGCATCCTAATGACTATATTGGAAACCTTGCTACTAGTCTAATTATTCTGTCTCTATTTTATTATTGTCATTGCATAATGATTTTGTTTTGTGCCATTATTTTTCAAGCATAGTGAAATCTATTTACATACTACTCAATTTTAAGTTGAAATTTCAAAGGTACATTTTGTTCTTTGATTTGAAATACAATATAGATATATATTTATGTACTGGTTTGTTTATTATATTGTTTTACATACAATAGATTTTCTTTGTGTGTTATTTGTTCTCCCCCTCTCCCCCCCCCCCCCCAAACCACCACCAAGTTCAGTACTATTTTATGTTCATATGTTTTCATAAAATGTGTCAACAAAAACCCACCAAAGTAAGAGGGGTCAAATGCAATTGTATGTTAGATATGATCAGCCTAGATTACAGCAAATCTTTTTTATTTATTTTTTTTCTGTTAACCTTTAAACTACAGCAAAACTATAGGATGGATCTTGATTTCTAGACTGATCACTTCTACAAATTAATTTTACTTCTTCAAATACACTTTACAACTAGGTACAATATATTTAACGTAGCCTCTGGCTGTTGGCAATCCTCTTTAAATAAATAAAGAATTAAATTAATATATTGTGTATATATATACATATGTGCATACATGCATATACTATTAAGTTCAGCTTTAAGAAAATATCTTTTTTCAGTGTTTTTTGGTACATTCCATAAATAGTATAATTTGAAAAATTGTATCTGATTCAATGATAATACTTTGATTTAAAGTAGCCATATTACCAATTGATTATATGCTTTTTTTATACCTTCTATTGTTATACTGAAATCTGTTTTGTTTAAAAAAAATTTCAGAGATAAAAAAAACTTTGTTACCTTATGTATTGTTATATTACAAGTGAATTTTTACATATAAACTTTTCTACTTTAACAATTTTGTTATGGTGTCTACAAGACAACTTTTCTATTTTTGGTAACAACTTTTTTTTTTGATAATTGATATTTAATAAAACTTGGCTTCATTTGGTTGAAACAGAACACATAATATGACTTAATCAAGCTATGGTCCAGTTGTTTTAAATGAACTGGTCCCACAAATTCTACCGGCCTGCTCAAAGATACATCCTCATAAAGCAGTAAGGAGTAGGAGAAAAACTGATTGGCTCACAGTCAGAATCCCAATAGCCAATACATAGACTGCCATATCTACACAAATGCAGGACATTTTATATTAAACCTTTACTCACAGTTTTTAAGTTTATCAACAGATTTAGGTGTTTATACAGTTGTTATGCAGACCATTTCAGACCCAGCATAATATTTATTCTTATATGAATAATTAAGTTTGTAGTAAATTAGTTATTATTTATGATGTTTTAGAAGTAAATTGGTTTTGGATATTTTTTATAGATGTGTATGTATACTCTTGTTGAAATATAGTTATGCTTTATTTTTTATGTGTTATTTATATTTATTTATCATCAATGATTTCATCTTTACTCAATTGATATATGAAATCAGAATTTTCTTAAAATAAATTGAAAACATTTGAAAGGACTAGATTTATACTCTGTCATGTAGTATCATTATGTAACAACTTAAGAATTTAAAAATTTCGTGAAAAAATTAGCTGAAAATATATCTCCAAACAGTATCATTACAGGATAGAATTTTATCACTATATTAGAGAATATCTGTCATGTTAGATATCATAAAATTTAACAAAGCAGAATTGTATGTTGACATTCTACCAAAATGATCCTTATTTTTAGGTTTTTTAAGTTTTCTGAGATAATTTGATTTACAGATTTTCTGCTCACATCTGTTTAACAATCACATGGTTAGCTGTGATAAGGAATCCATAACTTTGTATGATGTATATTTGTTTTGAATTAGTGCTCTGGTTATAGTATGTATTTTGGTTTTTTTTTGTTTACTATTTTTATAAAGCTGTTTGCATCTTGTTGTTTTTCTACCCTGACATTGCACACTATTGATACCAGTTTGAGAACTTAAACCTTTTTTTCATTTGATTGACTTTAAAGAATGCAATCTATAGGGTAAATGTATAATATATATGTATAAACCCACCTGAAATTATTTTTTGATCTTCAGATATAGTGATATATGATATGATGTCTCTTCTCTTGATAATTATTTTATAGTGTTATTACCAGACAAAACTCACTATTAACTATTAATAATAACAACAGAAAATTGCAACATTACCAGTAAAGTTTTTTGATGTACATGATTCTTTACTTACTGTTGATTAATGCTGGATAAAGATTTTAGCACGCATATTGATGTATTTTGATGCATTTGGATATGGTGTGTTAAAATCAGCAATTTAGTAAAAAAAAAATGTTTAGTAAACAGGCCTTAAAAATAAGTTTAAATGTTAAAACAGGTTATGTGAGTCCATTAATGTGGATGTTATAAATAAAATTCTGCATTATACATTTTATGAAACAACTACTTGAATATGAATGATACAGGGTTACTAGTCATCATCTATATTTATAATTGCAGTTTTCTTTATACATTGCAGTAGTATAAACAAAATTTAACTGAATTATTATATGTAAGTATACAATTGGATGTTATTAGGTAAAAACATTTTGGTACCAACATTGTATATAATATTTCAATCTTTTGTTAACTTTACTGACAAATATCAGGTAAACTTGACATTCCAAATAAAAGAAGAATTAAACCTTTGTGTTAGTTTTTATCATGTAGACATAAAGCATTTTGTCCCTTGTAGAAGACCATATATCAACCTCTAAAGTCCTGTTTTGTGTGTCATTGTGATTTTCCTTTTATTGCCATATTTCATATCTTCTTTCATCCATAATTTAAAACAGTCAATTACTGTGGATTCATTTCTTTTAGTGAATACCAGTTTCCTTGGATTATGGAATTTTGTATTTTCATGGATAAAAATTTTGTGGTTTTGCCAACTCTGCATAAAGCTAATTATTGAAATAGAAAATATGTACTTAGTTGAATATACCAACAAAAAAACATGAAATTGGTATCCCAAGATTCTATATCCACTGGATGTTAAGCAGCCAATAATCCATTAATTTAAGACTATACTGAAGTATTGCTTCATCATTGTACTGAAAGTGGTTTAAAGATATTTGCAAAGGGATGTTGAACAACCAACTATCAACAATCTTTGCCAATTAGAAAATTTGATGGGTAATCATTTTCATTTTCCACCAGAAACTGAATTGGTTTAAATGATAAAAATTATATTTAGTTGTTGCCAATAATTCCATGACAAAACAGTCCATACGACACCATTTTATAGAAATATTATGTAGTGCAGCCTTTCATATACATCTATAAAGTGGTACTGAAATTTGAGTCAATTTTTACAATCTCCAGTTGTTTTTTGTTGCTTTGTCTCAATACTAAACTATAAAAGTTGAAACAGTCAAAAGTTTATGCTTCAGTTTTGTATATTGGCTAAAACTTTACTGAAATTCAAATAATTTATTCACTTTAATACAATGTTGTTTAGTTCAACTCTGGATTTCTACAATGACAAAACATATCTGCAGTTGTTGTCTCTGGTACAAGGCAAAGTAAATGTATATATTTTCAAGATATTTCTTTCCATACACATCACCAATACATTCTAACAAATCAGGATTGCTGTTTTCAGTTTCTGTAAGTTACTGCTACTTTTCAAAATATAAGATTGAAACTTCTTCATCCATTGCTAGAAACATTAGTCTGAAACAGAAAATAATGACATTATTCTACAGTAATAAGAAAAGGTAAACAATGCACTTTGTAGTACTTGATTTAACTAGAAAAGCAAAGTTCTGCAGTCTGAAGTTGCTAAGCACATTGATATAATTTTATTTAGACACTCCGTGGCATGAGTACATACTGATTATTTTTGACTGCATACAGGTCTTTGTAAATTAAGGTTAAAAATAGAATATGCTTGGAAGTGTAAAAGTGTAAAAATAGATATAATTTTAAACAAAAAACTCATTATAGAACAAAGAAGAAAATAGTTTGGATATCAATAAAATATGCATCAAGACAGTACTAACCATCTTAGATAAGTTAACTTTAATAAGGAACATGACACAAAAAAGAATCGAAGAATTACAATCCTGTCATGTTTAAACATGTATCACTCATAGACCATAGGTACTTGGCTACAGGACAATTCTATTTATCTCCCCCTTTTTTCTAAAATTTTTTATTTTGTTATTTTCTTTTAATTTCAATTGTTTTCGCATTTTTCTATGATATATTAACACAAATATACTAGAAATAACATGTATTTACTATTTACTATCCACAGTGGTTACTGATAATAAATATGTATAATAAAATAATATATCACAGAAAAACGTGAAAATAATTGAAATAGAAAATAAAAAAATAACAAATGTTAGAAAAAGGGAGAGGGATAAGGACCTTTGTCATAGACTTCCATGTACATACATATATGTGTGTTTTACATTAAACTCAAGTCTTTCTCATTGAGCCTATTCTTAACAACACACTATTTATAGTCATTGTGTTGTTATACAAGTATAATGCTTAAAAGCTGTTTAATGTAACTATACGTGTTTATTTTGTACATATAGCATTATTTCTTCCTTGGTGTCCTGAATATGATAGAAAATTGAGTCTGACCGCTAGTAGCTCTGGCTCATGCCAGAGCTCATGTTTTGTCTGTTATGTATTTATATGCCGACTCTATGAAAAAATGCGAGTCCCAACATTTACTTAGACTACCCATTGACGTACATAAAAAACAAACCTTTGAATGTTTATCAGGATCATGAACAGTATGCTTAAGATTTATATTATGTAATCCAACACCCAATAAAACGAGAACAATAACGAAAGTAAATATTAGAATAATTCCTATCGTAATTTTCTTCCTGTTCTTTGATTCACAAATACATTCATGGATACTCTTATTGGTAAATGACGAATTAGCTTCAGTCAAACGGACATTACTCCCTGAAACAGTCCCTGTCTCATCGTCGCCTAATATTGTTACTGCATTTTCGTTCGTAACTTCATGGTCATCTAGAAGTTCGTCATCAGTATCTTCTTGTGATACACTTCTATATTGAACACGTTCTGTCATGTTATATATTCACTTATATTTTTGCATAAATCTATTTAAAATTCACTTTTAATATACACAATCAATGTTTTTGTTTATATATATATAAGTTTAAATCCCACAATTTGTTTTTCATGATTTTTCTATTCTATTCAAAGTGCACATGATACTACTATGCATACTTTATAGGTATTTCGATACCCGTCAATGGTTTTATATTAGATATCGATCTTGTCATGTTTGTTTAGTGTGTAGCTCCTTCATAAATAATTAACATAAAAATTCAAAATATCAAACAAAATAAAGCTAAACTTATTGTGAAATGTTGAGTTTAAGGATGTTCGCTTTTCTTGCTTTCGACTTGTTTGTCAGGTATATAGAATCTGACCTCTAGCTGGTTTTATCCATGTGGTACCATTCAAAATTTTACCCGCTGACCCTACCTTTCTTTTCATAATTTTATTACATATAAATTGAAAAGCTATTTTTATGCCCACCTACGATAGTAGAGGGGTTTTATGTTTTTTCGGTCTGTCCGTCCGTCCGTTCGTACGTCTGTCCCGCTTCAGGTTAAAGTTTTTGGTCAAGGTAGTTTTTGACGATGTAAATAAATATGTTTTTCTGTATACCTTTGTTCAACTTAGGTGATACCAGAATAAAATGATATATATACGAAGTTGAAGTTCAATCAACTTGAAACTTAGTACACATGTTCCCTATGATATGATCTTTCTAATTTTAATGCCAAATTAGAGTTTTGACCACCAATTTCACGGTCCACTGAACATAGAAAATGATAGTGCGAGTGGGGCATCCGTGTACTATGGACACATTCTTGTTGAAAATCTTATAAAATCCTTGTTATTATTTCATAGTCTTTGAAAGAAAAAAGGGCCAAAGTTAAATGTAGAGAATCAATTCACGCCAAATTTTTAATTGCTTATATCTTTAAACAACGACAGTGACCTTTTTTGCATTTGGTTCCGTTATTTATTTACTATCAATTTATTACGGTCTTTTAAAAAGCTTGTTATTTTGAAACTGAGTAGTGAGCATCCTTAAGGACAAAGACGACAATACCAACGGAATAACCATGATACCAGAACACATGCACCCGCAAATTGGGGTCGTATAGAAAAAAAGGGTTGTTGTATACTAGTACTTAATTATACAACAACCCTTTTTTTCGGTCGTTGCTGACACAATGAAATACAATTTGGAATTCGTTTTAGATATTTTGTCGCTTGATACAAAAAAAAAAGAGAAAATGACAGGTGTATGAAATATAGCACACGATTTCAATAATTAATTTACAGGTGTTTATGTATCTATGTCTATAACCTATGTCTTATGTTTTATGTTTTATGTTTGTCACGGTAGGTTTAAAAGCTTATATGTTGGTTGTGTAATAAATGTTCCGGACCATATGAGTATTATACTCGTTTGGTTATTAACGGGCCGGACCATATGAGTATTTAGACCATATAGGTATTTTTCAAATAAATTTTAACTTCCTTCGCACGAGCACACAGCTCATTCACCGAACCCAAAACGACACGATAACTAACTGAATTCCTTTATCTTAACATATTGTCTGAATCTTGGTGTATCTGTTACTAGTATCTTGCCTTCGCTAGAATCAATTTAGAGCAATTTATCTGGTCGACTTTTTCGTCCGGAAGTGAATCCGCAGGCGTTTTGAGCATGTACTTTTTTTTCTTTTTTCTGAGCGTTTAAATTATTATTTCAGAGAAAAAAAATCTTCTAATCTCAACGTATTTTCATTTAATTATTTGGTTCTTTCTCCTATTCATACGATTTTTCTGTTATTGTAAGATCGTATAAATTGGAGCAAGAATAGATTAGATAACTAAAAACAATTTGAATTATTTAAGAAATTTTAATTTAATGGGGCATTAGCTGTCAAATTCATATTCACCGATTTGATTCAAATTCTCATATTTGATTTATAACCCACTAAAACGTATATCCAACTTACAAAAAGTCTAAAATGAAAGATTAACAATGCATGGACTCGATAATATATATCCGTATTTCGTGTGTATTTTAGTCTAGACGTCATCTAATTAACCATCGAGGTGACCTCCGAAGACTGCCGACGGTCATGCATATAACCCGATATAAACATATATATATATATATATAGATAGATATAAATAAACAGCGAACACGTGCAATTGGATTTTTCTAGGTCTGTTTGTTTGCATATTATAGATTAAACAAATATGTTAATCTTCGTTTTTACCTATATAAGAATGAGTTTTTGTGGATCGAATCAGTCAATCAAATAATTTATCCTTGTTTCACTTTTAATGTTGACATTCTTTTCCTTTTACTAGCTGAATACGCCTAGTTCATGCGTAACCCATCTCTAGCTAAGGAGATAAATAAAAGGTCACATGAATACGGATTCCATGAGGTCGAATTATTCACTTGCAAGTGAATAATTCATCAGCGATATTTCTTAGCTTATTTTGACAACATGAACCAAACTGGCTGCTTAAAGCGGATTATTATTTCACTATTTTACTCTCATTAATGATTGGCCAAACAACAAATCAAATTCGATTTTTTTTTTATATCTCGTAGCTAATGCCCGTTTAACAAAAACACGAAAATAAATGTTTAACAAGAAAAGAAAGAGGGTTCAATGACCAAAGTTCCTGTGAGTTGAGCAATTGACTCCTTGTTTAACAGTTCATTTATATATTTCTTGTAATTCGACATAATGCGTTTCGTACAAATGTAAGCACAAATTGATAATGACCACGTAAAATAATTTTACTATAATTCTTACTTGTAAATAAAATTCACTTTATTTCATTAATCATGCAACAATGATTGAATGAATAAAAATTTCATTTTTAGAAACTCTTAGTTTATGGTACACTTTTTCAACGTTCATCGTGTCGTTTAACCGGACCATACCGTATGATCGGACCATACTATTAGTTACATGGTGTGTTAGTGACCTCTTAGGATATATATGGGTCAGTAATTTCCATATGGGTTGAGAGCGAAGCTCGAATCCCCACATGGAATTTACTGACCCCATATATATCGTATTAGGTCACTAGCACACCGTGTAACGAATTTATCTTACCGTGTGGTATTTAGACTAGCGGCCTATCAAAGTGATTAGATCTAAGTCTTCAATACTATATAGTATTAAGAACCTACTTCCATTTGTCTATACAAAAAACAAATGCCAACATTAACAAGTTGTTAGCTTTAAATTTGTTTTATGAATTTATTTCAATCGTTCATTATCAATTTCTTCGTCTGTTGAAACCATTCAGATTTCTTTTTTGTTTTGAAAGGGAAGTAACTCCTTACTAACCCCATATGATAACTAACCCCATATTTTTTGGACACCCTATATCAAATATATGATAAAAGTGATGATTTTTCATTTCCTATCGTTAATTATCCATTTTTAGATGGTGACGTTCCCTTGTCACCATCTTACGGTGTTTATATATCTCAACTTGTACGATTCGCTCGTGTATGTAACAATGTTTTAGATTTTAACGAGAGAAATTTATGTATTACTGAAAAATTATTACACCAGGGTTTTCGATATCACAAACTAGTCAAAACATTTACTAAATTTTATCATCGGTATAAGGACATCATTCGTAAATATAGCTCAACATGCAGACTTCTTATACGTTCAGGTATTTCACATCCAATTTTTTATGGAAATATTCTTTATAAAGCACAAAAATGTCAGTATTCACCTCTGAAGCTAACAAAACCTTTAAATAGACTTATTAAGAAGGGATATAGTTACGATACTGTTGTCGGTCATTAAAGATTGCATATTTTGGCGTTAATATTGATTCACTTATAGGGTCTTTGCATCGGCACTAAACACATTTATTTAAAAACCAGTTGTTGGCATGACACGGGTTATGTTCTTCTCATATATGTTATGATGGTATGATACTAAACCCCTAACGGGAAGGATTGTGCCTGATATTCATATGATGAAGACATAATCTTTCAATCAGTTTAATTGAAGTCTGGAGCTGGCATGTCAGTTAACTGCTAGTAGTCTGTTGTTATTTATGTATTATTGTCATTTTGTTTATTTTCTTTGGTTACATTTTCTGACATCAGACTCGGACTTCTCTTGAACTGAATTTTAATGTGCGTATTGTTATGCGTTTACTTTTCTACATTGGCTAGAGGTATAGGGGAGGGTTGAGATCTCATAAACATGTTTAACCCCGCCGCATTTTTGCGCCTGTCCCAAGTCAGGAGCCTCTAGCCTTTGTTAGTCTTGTATTATTTTTAATTTTAGTTTCTTGTGTACAATTTGGAGTTTAGTATGGCGTTCATTATCACTGAACTAGTATATATATTTGTTTAGGGGCCAGCTGAAGGACGCCTCTGGGTGCGGGAATTTCTCGCTGCATTGAAGACCTGTTGGTGACCTTCTGCTGTTGTCTGTTCTATGGTCGGGTTGTTGTCTCTTTGACACATTCCCCATTTCCATTCTCAATTTTAGTCACCACGTGTAGTCCTTTAACCAATAATATCCCCAGAAATCTATAGGAGGTAAGATAAGAGTATATACGGAGATGGTTCGATTATTTTTTTTTATATCCAATTTTAGATGTATACTCCAAAGTAAAAGTATATCAAAAGTTCTATTTAGATGTTTCAAAAATGACACTGCCGCTTTTAAATAGATTTTTGTATGAATATTTGATACACATGTATAAAAATAATTTGATTGTAGTCAAGAAAGAAGATATGATATTTGCAGCGACTCTTTATTATATCAGAAAAAAAAATTCTTTAGTAGACAGTTACTTGGATGGAGAGTTGTCTCATTGGCACTCATACCGCATCTTCTTATATCTAGTTAGTTTAAAATGTTGGAAACTTAACCAATCTTCTTTTTCTCTTAAAATATTGTGAAGTTATCATGTGTAATTACACTACTATATTTTGTAGTATTGTTACCGACCGCGCGAGACCCTCATGGGTAGTCAAGGTAGTTTATAAACACCCCTTAGTATAGTAGTATTGTTGATAAATGGCACATAGCAATAACTCGACAAACATACCTACCGTGCTAGCTATATATCATTCTTTAACCCGACAAGGAGGAGTTGACTTTAATCAAAGCCATCACAGATAATATGAGTAGTACACAGAAAACACAAAGTAAAGTTACAAGTAAAACTATTCTCGTCTTTTGTGCGCCGCATTTTAGAATTTTCCATTTGCCTTTATCCTCAAATACAAATTTTAATATGGGTTGGTGGTCGTCACGCTTCAAATTTGTGCAGCTTTGTTCTTGTACGGCCTGATTATCCTCAAATGGAATCATTAACGTCCGATCATCTGCCTCAATTTCATCTAAGCACTCCTTTCGGGTGGCTAAACATTCGCTACCA